ACTCCTGTGGCGTGTACGCGCCGCTCGGCCACACGTAAGAGCGCGCCGCGTCACGTCTAGATCCTAAGGTACACTGCACCCCAAAGCGTATTTCCGGTAAGCTTCTTTGAACGTAACCGCGTGCGCGCGCGCCTCAAACTGGAATGCCCACTGGCGCGTGCTTATTGGCCTTTCATAAACGCTTCTGATTGAGAGCGCCGTTTAAAGAGCCATTGATCTACATTCCATTTATAAATTTTTTTATGAATTTCGAGCGCGAGCGAGAGCAGCAGGCATAAACACTCGTCGAGCTGGCGAGTAAACTTGAACTATTTCGAGAATAGCGTGCGCGCGCGTTTTGCCGCCTCTCTCGCTCTCTCTCTCTCTCTCTCTCTCTCTCTCTGCGCGCGCAATGAAAATTCTCGACAACGGATTAAAGAGCGATCACGGGAGACAAATTGACTGCGAAAATGCACGTTACAGCGGCGTTAAAAAAAGGGAAAGAGGCGGCGAAAGAGCGGAGAAAATAGAGCGAACGAGGCACGGCTAATGGACTTTATTCGCCGAAGCTTTTGAAGTGGCCTTCTCACGCCAGAGATATATTTGCCGCGGTGCTGCCACTATGTCCAGCTGCAACGCTGTCGCACGCATTGACGTCCCATCGGCGCGCGTCACTGCTCGCTGCTTATTACTTAATCGACGTCGCACACTCGCGTGCGCGCACTGTCAAGCTAATGGGACGCTCGGCGCTCCATCAACCGAAATACAGGTACGGGCGTTCGTGAAACGCCGGTGCCGTATATATCCCACTGGCACGAATTCCATTTTCATATTAAACATCGCCGCCGAATGTCATTGCGTTTAATCAAGCTGAAACGCTTTCCCCACGAACGAGAAACCGTTGCGAACGTTGGCCGCCGCGAATCCACGAAGGCCCATAGAGTGACGACCATCGTCTAAATGGCCAGCCGACACGTTCCCCGATGCGCACTGGAAACCCCGCGTCGCTGACAAAACTTGTTGAACGCTCCCTTTTCCTCCCCGCCCGCCCGACCGACCACCTTTCCCCGTCGAGGTGTCATGTCGTCGCATTGATGACGCACTGCCAGCGCCATTCTGATCCACTTTGTCCCGCGCAAGTGACTCCAATCAATGGTTGCCTGCGAAAAACGACAACGGAAGGTTGCGCCGGCGTGCGTGCCGAAGAGCTCTCTCTCTCACTCTTGGCATTGCGTAATATGCCCCCGTCATTACGTTGTTTGCGGGTCATCATACGAGCGCGGGCGCTTTCGCTCGTATAGTTGTCGAGCAGGCCAGAATCCTTCCGTTCGGATTCCATTTCGAGCAGCCAACAGTGGCATTTTCCTTTCTCAATGATCGATAACGATCGTCGAGCGTCGCGTCGACGCTTACTGCCTCGCCGCGGCGTCGAACTTTGTAACGCGTCGTCGCGCTGACCGTGGCGGCTGACACCTAGTGGTAACCCGCGAGTTTAATGAGAGGAGGCGTGGGCGAGACGAGGTCGCATCTCCGAAATCGATCGGCCGCCAGTTGTCAAGCCGCGGACTTAGCTCACCGTGACCCCGTGCGACGCGAGTCTTTGCGCGCGTAGCCATAACCTTGCCGCGCGGCAACTGTGCTTATATCAGCCGACCGCCGCTATGCGCGCACGTCAATTTTTCATCTCGTCGTCGTTTCTTATCGGAGGCTTCGCTACACGGACAGATAATATACCTGCGCGCTCCACTTTTGCGACAACTGCCGCACACGCGCGCACGCACGCATACAGTAACCTTATCGGCTCTCGATAGCGATGTAACCGCTCTCTCTCTCTCTCTCTCTCTCTCTCTCTCTCTCTCCTCTCTCTCTCTCTCTCTCTCTCTCTCTCTCTCTCTCTCTCTCTCTCTCTCTCTCTCTCTCTCTCTCTCTCTCTGTCTCTCCCACCAACCGCGCATGTCACATATCCCACTCGTCGCGACCCGCGCTCCGTACTCGACCGGAATATTTTTCCTTTTGCTCCGGATGCAATTCCTTCTTTCGTTTTTTCCCCGATCTCGGAAGCAAGGGATTGCGCGCATAGAAGCGACTTGCACACTACGCCCCCAGCCGCTTCGTGTGACCAATGACAATCGGCGCCCAGTGTTGTAGGCAACGAACGCGCCTCTCTTGGCGAAAATCACATTCACACGCGCGCAGGTGAGCTCGTCAAGGTGCATTCTCCACGCGGCACGCGAGCGGCATTAGAAAACAGCGAAGGACGCGGCGATGAAACTCGGCTCGTGTATCAGGACCTCGCGGCACGCGATCGCCACAAAATCCTCGTACCTATGCGGCGGAGCTTTTGCCTTTCAAGCTTGCGCACAAACTGAGAAACGCTTTCGGGTGATTCGCTCGATTTCGGTATTTCGACCGCCTCGCACTGCTCAAGGCTCGCGCACCGAGATAAACGTTAGAATAAAATTCTTTATAATCTATAGTGATGACATTTATTATATTACAAAAACTGCTATGTTACGTAGCAAAATTTACTGTCCTCCGGACAGACTCAGGCTACAGGAGAAATTACTATGTCGCTTAGTAAAATTTGTTATGCCCTAAACCTAGTTTTAAAATTATTTATAACTACGAGGAAGAAGAAAAATATTTTTGGATTGTGTATGTTAGTACATATACCTCTTTATAGTTTATTATCCGTTCTACACTAATTTATATATTTATTCATCATCGTTGTCTTTCTTTGCAAACGCAACTTCTGCGATCAAATATTGTCATTTCATAATCTACTTCATCCTACTGGATTAAATTTGACTAATATTTACGATCGTTTTTGATCGTGCCCGTCCCAATAATTTAATTTGTACGCAAAGTGTCGGGGATTCAGCCGCTCGCGAATTGCAGGTACCCACATAACATCACTATGCTTACTTTCAAAACGCCATCTGGCTAGGAAAAGCTAACTAATGTTTCCGCTGTGAACTGGGGACAGCAATTTTTACGGTATTACGTAGTAAAGTTTTTACTTCAGCTATAATAATTTTTATATATTGAATAAAAACTGTTAAAGTTACTGAGTATTATTTTTCTCAGTGCGGCAATTAGCTTTCCTCCGCCACGCCGACCGCTGCGCTATTTTGACAGCGGCTGCGCGAGCACTACAATTATGTTGAATTAATAATCACATGCCTCTCTCTCGATCAGTCGCATCTCCGAGCTATCTATTTTTAGCCACGCTCTCTCTCTCTCTCTCTCTCTCTCTCTCTCTCTCTCTCTCTCTCTCTCTCTCTCTCTCTCTATATATATATATATATATATATATATATATATATATATATATATATATTTAGAGTGAGAAAGAAATGAACGAACACCGAAAAAAATTTGAACAAAATAAAAAACAAAATCGGCGAAACTGGTTCGCCGCGGCGAAACAGGTTTGTCCGGTGCAAACGAAAAGCGCAAAGAAGGCAGACAGGAAAGAGAAAATCGCCGGCAAGGGAAAAATGATTAGATGGATACACTCGCGTGGCGGACGAGGAAGAAGAGAGATTCTTTATACACCCGGCGTCGTTCAATAGATATTGCTTTTCTTTTAATTCTTTTCGGATATGCAAGATTCTTTGATTCTGCCGTGATAAAGCGTAGGAGGTCGACAGATGGGAAAAGCGTGTTGCTACATGGCGTCACATTGCACATTGGAATCGATCGTGACTCGTCGCGAGCAGCGGCAGTTTGGCTTCAACCGTTGAATAGTCGACGAAAAGCCATCTATACGAGAACAGTTGGTTATGTCGTGTGCACGCGCTGATGTGAAGTTGAGCGCGAACGGACGTAGTTTGGAATACGGAAAAACGAAAATAGATGCACTTAGCGGTGAAAGTAAAGCTCTCGCGTGCACACACAACCAATTCGTGCGAAAAAGCAGAGCGCGGAGGCGCGTCGATGAAAAATAAGTCTATGTAACGGTACAATGCGGACGAGCTAGCTGGCAAGGGAGAGCTCCGCTTTGTCTTTATTATCACCGTGGTTTCTTCCTGAAATGTGGCATGTACATCTACATCCAGATGGCGTCCTGTCGATGCAACCTGCTAGTGGCTGCTATTAGCTTCGACGTTATAGCCAAGATAGTGTGCAGTATATGCACTCCCCAATTTCGTTTGCACGACATTAGTCGGTCTGTAAAGTGCTCGTTCAAAATGCAGTTTTCTAGGCACAACCCGACGATTGTCCTCTCGGTGAAAATATAATAATTTACGCATGAATTTCCATCGGACAATAAATTATTCAACGTACTTTGCGCTTTCTCTATTATCGAATTCGTCTCATCGAGCATCGCTGCATTAAAACGTCATCGCCGTACACCCACAATCAACACAACAAGCCGCCCACGAAAACTTTCCGGTTGAATAATTGAAGAGAGGGAACAGGTGTTTTCCTGCTTTAAAAATGCACGACCGACAAAAAAAAGGAAAACGTACACTGCTCACCTGCTTCATATACTAGTCGCACATCTCTCTCGTTTTCTGTCGTCGACGACGCCTACCGAATCAATATCTGACGGCGTTCTTTTTTTAAACGCCCGTTTTCATCTCTCCTCGTTGTTTATTCAAGCTGATCGGAGTTCTATGGCTATCGACGAGAAGGCTCAATGGTCATATGCATGCAAGAGTAGGATGATTGTAGGTTGTATGTGTGCAAAAGAGAGTAAAAGAGTCGTGCTCGTTTGAGAAGAAGAATTATGCCTCCGTTTTAGTTTGATGATCATTAATTTTTTTTTTCTTCTTAATAGAATTCGGACTATTTCCCTCGGCTTTGCGCGTAGTTGATACTTTACAAGCGTGTTTGCACGTATCGACAAGTATGACAGTGTGAATTTGAGCCGCATTAATTAAGATGAATCGGTACTGTCAAGCAGCGAGTAATCCGATACGCATTATACCTGAATCGGAGCTTCAGCGCGACGCGTGCGAGAGAACAGATTTATCTAGATTATAATAGACAACAAAAGAGGACAGGAAACTTACCGTTTTTGGAGACATCGAGCTCCACGAGATTCTCAAAATTCTGAATGTCGGGTGGCAGCCGGTGAATTTCATTGTCGCTTAAGCCGAGTTTGCGAAGCCTTTGTAGCCGAAAAAAATTCTGCAAATAACGAGAGAAAAGCGTGAATATAACAATGGCAGGATTATAGATGACAATAGAGTCGAGAGAGAAAGAGAGTTACTCGTTAAACGAACGCTGAAGTTTTAACGTTGACAGTGGTCATTGTGTGATTCACGTGTACGACTGACGCAGCAAATTTAAATAAACGTCAGTTCGATTATGTAGAAATTCAATGCGACATCCCGGAAAATTTTGTTTGACGACTGGTAGATGCAGCCCCGTATCTCTTTGAAACTTTGTGTCATGAACACGATACGCAGTTTGCGGATTAGGTCAAAGTGTACGATATCATCGCAAAGTGGTAAACGCAGGCTTGCGTGCGCGTGATTCAGGCGGATCTCGAGCAAGTATTAAAATGCGCCAGAAAAGCCGACGAGGAGCATATTATTCCGCGATTGGCTTTTCTATTTCATGCAGGATTTTAATGAAATTCCAGGCAGAGCACTCGGCACAAAGTTGAATGGAGCAATGCGGCGACGACGAAAAGAAAACGGAGCAATTTAAAGCACCGTTTCCGTTTGAAATTTCAAGCGATTTCTCCTCGAACTTCAACGATTTTAAAAGTGAAATTCCGACGTCTGACAGGTATAATGTACTCGATTGGCAAAAACTCGAGTAGCGTGGCGCACCGCAAAATCGAAAAGAAAAAAAATTGAAAGCACAGAAGTCGCGTCTGTTTCACAAACCGTTAGACGAGCGCACTGTAAGCCTCAACTTAAGTATAAGATTTATCGTAATTGTAATTGAAAGGGAAAAAATTCAAGAGCAGTGTCGCAGAGCGCGTGATCTAAAAGCATCAGACTCTGCATACTGCTTGCTCTGCTGCTGTTCGCGAGGCTAATGAACTTGAGAGGGAAGCCAGAAAAGTGTATGCGTGAGAGTCTCTCTTTCAGGGGTTAGAAAACAAGTTTGGCCATGCTAGAGAGAATGTCTAAGTTCGTTCTTGATCCACAAGAATCAATATAGGCAAGCTGAAAAAGCAACCAAGAGGGAGCTTTAATTCCGATGAATTTATGGCGAGAAATTTGCATTGGACCGAGGAGAACCGAGCAAGTAGAGCGCGAGCAGCTACGAGAGACCGATTTATGCACAACTGGACATCCATCAAAATAATCTAGATCCTAGTGCACGTTCGCCTCGTGACCGTCGAGCTTTTTCCAGACAACTTGCATCTTTATTAATTTTAAATCAAGCGCAAAAAATAAAGAAATTGAAAGATTGAGGGTATATCATGATCGACGAATGATCATCGATATAAAACACTATGAAAATAACCGTGGCTCCCGTGGCATGGTGTCACTCGTCAGCAAAGCTAGTTCTGCTGTCAACGTTTTCAAATAAACTCAGATATTTTTGGCGTGTCAACGAACCTGAGAGAGATTGAGAGAGAGAGAAAGAGAGAGAGAGAAAGAGAGAGAGAGAGAGAGAGAGAGAGAGAGAGAGAGAGAGAGAGAGAGAGAGAAACGTCTGCCGACTCTCTCTCGCGATGAACACATACATCATCGAAAATAAGAGTAAAGCAAGAAGTAGAAAGGTAAGAAAATAAAAAGGAAGGCGCTCGATAAATCACCATGCACGTAAAGGCACCTACATTGTGCAACTTACACTCGAACTAAGCAAAGCAGTAGCCGGTTGCACGCTCGCACTTCGACGCGAAGGTCAGAAGAGCGAGAGAAAGAGAGAGAGAGAGAGAGAAAGAGAGACAGACAGATTGTGTGTAGCGTGCACGCGCGTGTGTGTTTTCTACGATATACACGTACCTTGGGCAGGTCGCGGATGTGATTGGCGTCGAGCAGCAACTCCTCGAGGCTCCTGGAATACCTGAGAATGTCATCTGGAACGCTGGGTAGGGAGCAGTGCCGCTTGTCCACGTATTCGACCTGTCTGTTGCAGCCTTTGAAGATTGGGATGCAGCGGAACATTATTCTTCTCGTTCGCTCTCCTTCGCTCGTTCGTTCTCTCTCACGCGCACTCGTTTTCGCTCTCTCGCACCACACGCATGCACTTATTTCGTCGTTATTCCTCTACCTCCAACGCATTCGGTTACACCCGCACATAGAGCCGCGTTGTTAGCTGAGCCAGCGACATGCACGTCGTCGTCGTGGGTCTTTTCTCTTTTCTTTTCCTCGTTTTAGGGGTTAGCCGACGCGCGCGCGTACACTTTACTACTCTCGCTCGTCTCGAGACGCACCGAATACACGACGTCGTCGCAACAAGGCTCTACTCGAGCTCTGTCGAGCTCTGTAGTCGCTACGGCTGGCTCGATTTTTCCTTCCCCCCGTGTATACCGACCAAGAGCTGGGCGTGAGCGAGTATGGCCAGCGTGCCACCGTGTGACGTCAAAAGAGCGCCGAGGTGAGACAGAGATGCCAGAGCAGAGGTAAATTCTCTCTCTCACTCCTACTCGCAGCTCGCGTACGCTATATATGTATATTGTACGCATGCGCTTTTCGGCTGCATTCTGATGGTTAATCTAAACTGCCGAGTGCCGCCTCGCATGTGTACCGCTTCCAAAGTTCCAACTCCGACGATCAGCGCTGACGAACAACCAGAACAGAACAACCTCTCGAGTAGTGAGTTGAGTACCCATTGCGGGCGTTGCGTTGCGTTGCGTTCGTATTTCGTAGGGCGTGCCAATCTTGTGGAGGCGCCACGAGACGGACTTACCATTCAAGAGGCAATTTTAATTACGAGAGACAAGTGATCTTTGTTATTGAATATTTTCATTTTTCAAAAGTCGCTGACTGATAAAATCACGCCGACGTTATAAACGGAACATCATTACTTTTGCACAGTATATTTATAACAATTGAATTCATTTTTTAGTTGTAAAATATCGTTTGTCACAAAACTACATTTAATAATACAATGATAATAACCGTAATGCTACACGATTGAAGTTTTGTTGCAATAATAACTTTTAATAACTTTTAATAACCATAAGTCATCAATGCAAAAACTATAGTTGGTACGAAAAAAGCGCGATAATGATTCTTTAAATTTCGCGCTATAGGAATTGGAATAACCTACCTTACCTTAGCTTCGTAAAAACCACGCCTGATGAGTGAGTCGCGTATATACCTATATACGCGAATGTTATCTCGCACAAATTGACAGTATGTCACGGTGCGCGAGTGAATGAACAATTGAAACTTCAGAGCAATGCTGAAATCCTTAAGTGATCAAGTAGCGTGATAGGTTATCAATGATCAATGACATCAATGTCGACGAAAACTTTGTTTTGATTGATTTTGCTTTGACACTATTGTGAAAAATGTGACTAAATTCGACATATACCCTTATGATTGTTATGTATGTTTAGTTAATATATATTTGTTAAATATTTTGTAGATTGGTTCAAGTTTTTTTTCTAAAAATATCATTTTCTGCTATCTCATTCTGATAACAACTTATTTGTTTGGATAATAATTGTTTTGGTCATCCATAAATAAAGTCCAAATTGACTGGCATTGCCAAGAATTCCAAAATCCAAAAGTCCAAGAATATGTACCAGAATATTTTTAAGTAGCTACAAATAATTTACCAGATATGGATTTTGATGTATTATCAGGATATGTAGATAGTTATGAAGGACGTGATCAACTTCTACGGACATTGTCCTATGCAGCCAAGCTGGTATCAGGTTTTCCTGCTTCAAAAGAAATTTCGGATAAATTCAAAAGTTTTGGAAGTAAAATGAGTGGGACCAGAGTTATTTTAAGACTTCTGGATGACGTTCCCAATGTTAATTATGCCATAAGTTACGGTTGGGGACAAATGGTATGTTAACAAAAATTCATTGTATTCAATATATATTCAATCAAAGATAACATTTGAGATTATAATGTAAATTAACAAGAAACAATTGATTGTTTTAGGAACCAGATTGGTTTTTGAGAATAATTGAACTGATAAAAATATCAGTCACTCTCACTTATGGTCCAGTTGAACATATTTGTTGGGCTGGAGAAAACAATTACTTATCTATAGACGTTGAAAAATGGGGCAATGCTTCAGTTTGGTTTTGGATTGGGTCCCTTTATCTGTCCTTGTTGAAGTATATAATAAATAATAATTTAAAACATATCAGTTAAAATAAGATGAATATTAATACAAATATCATATTTTATAATATTGTATTGTTATATTTGTATTTCAGAACACTAAGAAAGTACAAACTCTTTAAGGAACAAGAAGTTACTTTTAGAAAAAATGAGCTGGATCCGAGGTCAAATAAATAATTATTTATTTTCATTTTTGAACAATAACATTATTTTATAATAAATTTGTTTGAATACAGATTTAACCGATCAAAACTCAGACGTCAACAAAATAATGAGTTATTACTTTGTTTGAGATTGCTATTAGATTTGAGTTATGCCATTAGTTACCTTCCACCAGGCACCTTATGGGGAGGAAAATTTTCAACTTGGCAAGTAGGCTTACTTGGCACAATATCGTCGTTAATCGGTTTATACCAGGCACTTTCAAAGAAAATTGCTCAGAAAAACAGTTGACTTGTAATACCAATTGTTGAATGAACAAGAATGTGAGTTTTGGTTGTGGATAGGTTTTTATAAAGAAAACTGCTTGTTTAAGTATTATAGCTATATTTGTTATTGTATATGAGATGTTTATAATAAAATTAGTGGGGAATAATGCATTGGTAGTTAATTTTCCTACAATTTTCTTTTTATAAAAATGTGATATTAAAAAATATATATTGATTAAGAATTATATCATCTGTTTATTTTACTGATGATACTTGAGTGATATTCTTTGCCTAAATCGTTTTCAAACATATTATTTGCGAAAATCAGTAAACAACCTAATTTAATTTTATTATTTCTTCATCTTACAAAAAATGAAGAAAATAATTAGGAATGAATGTTCTGCTAGCGAATCACTTTCATTTTTCCACCAACATATAATTCTTTAAAATAATTATAGTATAACAGGTAAAGACAAAAATGTTAGCCATAGTTACTAAGTTATAATAGGCAAATGTGGAAATTAATAAACTTACTATTTACTTTTAGTGATTAATGATTTCACACTGGTAATGAATTTATATTACAGCAAACGTAACTTAAATTATAAAAATTAAATAAAATAAAATCAAACGTAGTTTTTGAAGAAATTGTAATTATAACAATGACAATAACAATAAACATTCTTATCTTATAATGAAAATTGTTACATTAAATATAAGGGAAAAAAAAAGAGATGGTGAAGTTTACAGAATATATTAGATGTAAGATACATGCAAGTTTAGAGGACTTTATTTTCAGTAGTTATGACTTATTCACTGATTTTACGGATATTAAATATGTAACTCATTAATTCAGAGAAGATACAATATTTTCAAAAGAATTTAAAAATTTTGGTAATCACCATTAAATAATAAAAAAATTTTACTTTAAAATTACATATCATCTGATTGTTTTATAAAAAAGTGTTAATCACATTGATAAATTACTTTTAGTGTTGTAACTGCAAAGACAATAAAAGCAGTATTAATACTTCAGGCAGACGTGTAAAGATGCGTGCGCTTTATAACCAATATTACTTATGTTAATATACAATTATAATGATACACTTTTAATTAAAAAATCTCAAATGTACAAAACTTCATAGTATGTAGATATTAATATATTAATAAAAAATACACAAAACGAAAATTATTACAGCATAGTTCAATGTATAGTTTTTAACTTGTTTTTAATATATAGTTTTTTTTTATGCTAACACAAAATATCATGAAATATAATGATGAAATAGGATCGTCAATGAAAATTACTAGTAATTGTGTTATAATATGTATATTTGTTATTATTTCATATACGAAATACTTATAATAAAATTAGTGGGAACAACATGCATTGTTATTAGTTTTGTTATTTTATTAATTTTTCACTATAAATTCAACGTCGATAAAGATAAAGCTAAACGCACATCGTAATTTTGCACGTATTTTTACAATACGGCCCATGTGAATGGTTGAACTAATAAAAATTTCTTTTAAATAAATAAAAACAAAACTAATGAAACCGTCGAGGCACTTTCATCTTTCAACTTAAAAACAATATTTTCAATTTATGAATGTGAAAAGCTTTTTACGCCGCTGTAAATTTTAGTCTTATTAATCAGAAAAATCACTTGATCGAGTATGCGCATACTTATGTGTTGTAAATCACTTAACTTTGTTAGACTTAAAAACAATTTCAGTTGGATTTCGCCGCAATAAAACTTCATGAACACGTTAAAAGGCACGACCGATTAAAAGTGAGTAAATAAGAATTCAGTGATAAAAGCTGTCCTTAAAATTTGTCCTTACAAGGATTTGGCTAACTCATGTTTTGCACCTTGTAATAATTGTAGATTGCTAAGATATTGTCTACTCAATAGGTCATAACTATCCGTTACTTTATAATTTTTTTTCAAAAGCTTGATAACCTCTCTATCAATCTCGATAATAGATTGCAATATTGAACTAAGATTTATTTTAACCGTGCCGTTAAAATGTTTAATAATTCAATATTTGAACATTAAATACAACAATTTTTTTGATAACAATTCAATGCTCAGAATAGATAAAATATGTCTAGTGTCAATGACTAGCGGATTTCAATCAAAGATTCGATTGCATTATCATAATAGTAGTAGAAGTAAGGAAGTTGAGGAAGAGACAGGTTAAAAGCATTATAAAAAAATGTGCAAAGATCTAAATTGTTTAATTCAATTTAACAAAAATTTTAAAAAAATAAACGAAACATTAAAGACAGCGCAGTGGAAAATCAGTAATTTGAAACGAATGAACGCAACACGCGAATTGCGAGAAAATTAAATGTTAACAAAAAAATAATAAAAAAAAATCAAACTCTACAATGAGAATTGTAGGCCCTAGTACAACTCCATTTTTCGTCATATTTTAAATGGCCAAAAGAATAAGAGGGCTGCTGTAGCGGTAAGACCTGTTTCCACGCTTCATTATAAACGCCTAATATTCAATTGCCAGAAACAGTTTACTGACTGGCAAATAACACTTCTTATGTGAATCATAAATCGAATGATATCAATAATAACTGACTGGGCTGATCCGCCGATCGGATTTTTTCGTTGGCGTTTACGAATGCCAAACTATAACAATAATTATATTTATCTCTTTAAATACATAATTAAAACAATATTTTAACCCAAGTCACTACGCTTGATAAATATATCTACCAACAAATAAAAAAATAATGGTCTCCTCGTACGTACTAGGAACTCAAAGTGATTAAGCTCTATAATCGTTGAAACTATCGATCTCTTTCTAATCGAACAAACATTAAACTCGCTCAAATATTAATCTTAATAAGCAAATAAACGATTATTCTTTCTCTTACAAAGTTCTAACCGCAGACTATAAAAAAATCTCATGATGCGGCGTCGCTTGAGTTTTCGTTTGTTACTTAATAAACCTACAGTTTTCGCTCCTCCGCCGATTGTTGTCAAAAGAAAGAATTAAGATGTATGTTTGTCGATCGAAGGAGCATTGATCGAACAATGACACCAGATTAGTTTAACTTACAACTATTAGATAAAGTATGGAGGACGAGTAAAACGTCCAATAGTACTCGGAGACAAACCAATAACTTGATTGTTTTTCAAACCGCGTGACATTGGCTTATGCCAGCTCATCGATGAGTTATTATGATTCCAATTCCAGCAGGTGTGGCAGTAGTACTTGAAGCAGATCTAAAAACAAAAGAAATGAATATTGTATTAACAATCGATTATATAAATGTAACTATAATTAAGTAATCATTTCATAAAGAAAATATGAGAATCGTACAATAATATAAGATTATGAATTAAACCTTTGTATAAAAACAATTGGAATTTCAAATAAAAAATATGTATTACCCTTTCTCTGCAAAAGTATGGACCTTGTTGGACAAAGCAGCTGGAACACGGGGCATCTTCTATGTAGGGATCAACTTGAATTATCTTCGCAAACTTGGCAGTTTTTACTTCAATAAAAGCTGCGTTTACGGCTTTGTTGTAAGATTGTTTACTGCTGAAAGTCACACGCGCCGATCCAATTGGATATTTGAATTTGTCGGTGTCAATACCTGCAAAATAAAACAAAAATATTTATTTTTAGAGCAATATTAAAACTTCGATTGAATTAAAAAGTAACTATGAGATTACCTGCATAGATAACGTTGTCAAAAAGGTCGTTCATGATACTAGCTAAACCAGTAGCAGTGATCATTCCGTGTAAAGCTCCAACAAACACAGTTTTCTCGGCATCCAATTTTTGTTGCGTTGACTTCACGTAGTTACTGTCGTTGATTGACCATGGTATCACTTGAACCTAAATAGCATAAGAAATGATATGCATGAATTGTTGTAACTATATTTATTTTTTAATGCAATCTAATTAAAATTATACTGACTGCTTTGCCTTTCATTCTTTTAGATGAAATCTTGTAGTAGTAGCTGCCGCCATTAGAAAAGTCATGAGTACAATTAGCCAGGAGATTTTTTACCTGGAAATAAAATAGATTCTTATTTTGATTAGCTTGAACATATGGCTATTAAAAACTCAAAATATCACAAACAATATTACCTGTTTTTCAGATTCAAAAATAATATATGCATATCCTTTAGGTTGAACTGGAGTTTGATTTTTCCCTGGCCACTCAATTTTTATAGAACCAAACTGTTTGAATGTAGAAATCAGAGCGGCCTCAGTTATATCCCATGGTACACCACCTAAAAACACCTTCGAAGAATATGCCACTGGTTTTTGTGTCCTTTGAGGTAAGTCACCTCTCCAAGTGTAAGTTGCATCTGACCCCGCTATAAAAAAATGTTTTAAAATTGTATAATTGCCAGTTATTTAAAGAAAAAAGAAAACAAACCCGCAGCGTTTCTGTGACATCTAGCAGCTTTGTCAAGAGACAAGGTTTGTGGTAAGGAATTGGGCAAAGTATTCAAATTAACGTTGCGCTTATTGCCCATACAGCAATTCTTTTCTGAGCTGCACATATTTGTACAATTGCCACTATACTGATGGTTGCAGTCCTGATTGCGAGAGTGGTCATGAGCGTGGTGATGGAAATGGTGCATCGGGGTCGGGACATTCAAGTACTTTGTGTATCTCTGGGCGTCCATCGATCCTCTACCATTCTGGATGTACTTGTTTGCATCCATCATCGAATTTTGACTAACTGAAGGGTAACAGCGGTGTTGGCCGTGTGTAAGTGTCATCGTATTCTAGAATAAATAAATATCAATGTTACATTGTTTCATCAAAAATGAAAAATGCACGCATATGATAGTACTTTACGATACAAGTGCGAGAAAGTATACTCTTTTCTCTTTCTCGAATATGTATCGTACGATATTTAATAGGGAATGTCAGAAAAGTAATTACCATTGCCTCAGAAACGTGGCCGTCAAAACTACTAACACTGTTATCTGAGTCAGCTGGAGAATTCGATCTGGTACCATTACAGTTATAAACGTGAGACGGAAACTCCACGGATGGACTTGACGGACAGTCACTGGAAACATTTTGACTTCTATTTAATTGGTGTATTTACATCTATAAATCAAACTTCAATGTCTACCTATAAGGAGTAGAATTGCCTCGAATGGGTCTTCCGTAGCACCGACGAACTGGGGAGAGATTCAATTGTTTGCTGTAGCCTGGCGATTCAGGAGATGACGAGGATGTGTAAGGGCTACTTGCTACACTGGAGTAAGAATACGCATTTGAGTAAACGCTCTCTGGTGTGCTTGGACTTGTTGGTGCATGGACAGAGATTGGCGAGCTTGGCACTTCTGTACTTTGATAAAAAGCCTCCATGCTACTGTATTGCTAAAAATAAAAAAAAGTGTATTTGTAGCCAAAAATTTAATTTTAACATTAAATTTATTATACTCAATATTATAAACCAAAATCAAGCATTCAAATTAATATTAAATTTGAAAATTTGTTAATAATTAATGTCGATGAAATTTCAAACTGCCTTAAAGAAGTAGAAGATTGTTATTAATACTTTCTAAAAGTTAAAGTTAAAACTAAATACCTTATGCGACGTCGAGTTTAAATAGTAACCACTAGATGAATGTGCATATCCACTGGTATCAGACCGTCGCTGAAATTAATAAAAGTTAAATATTAATAAAATGATATAGTCATTGATTATCTCATGAGAACATTTTGCATATTTTGTGTACATAAGGATGCGTAAGTTGTATATCAGGAGTAGTAAACATTTTTTTTTCAATAAGAAATCCCACGAACTGTTTGACGTACTCGAATATTTTTATAGAATCTTGAAATTGCATTGATATATAACCACTTGCCATTCAATTTAATATAAATACAAATAAACTCTTTCTAATAAAACCTCTGGAAATAGAAAGGCAACGGAAAAAAAACCAACACAAACAAAAAAAGGCTACGATAAAAAGACGCAGAAAAGAGGAATGAGAAGGGAAATCGTCGTATTGTTTAGAATTAGCTCCCAGACACCATTTTTTGGAGTAGCTCCAAAATAATATCGCGGAAAGGCTCGCGGGAGTGAACGCGGGGGTAGGAAGACAAAGAGAAAGAAAAAGGAGCAGAGAAAGCAGGAAGTAAAAGCCTATAGCCCTCAGGTATTTAGCAGCCGGAGTGCACTGTGAGCCAGGCACACCCTTGAGCACACATCCAATAATTCTCGGGAACGACGCATCGCGTTGCGTAACAAGCTAATCCGTCAAAACTGGCATAAACGGGGAAAATAGAAGATCAAGCGCAGTGCATAAAAGTGTTTTATCGCGACGATAAAGTCATAAAAGTGTATATACACAATACGCCATACGCGCAATTCCACGAGTGAGGGCAGAGCGGCAAGGACGATTTTTCGAGGGTGGCAGCGGCGGAGGCAGTTCTGGCTCGCAAGGAATTCGGGTCGCCTGCCTATGCGTAACGTAAGCATGAGCGACGATTTGCAAGGAAATATTGCGACGTCCGTTGCCTATTATCTCTGGATATTTCGCGACGAACGCCGGCCAAAAGTAGAAAAGACGCGACGGCGACTTATTGTGCGCGCGAAGGCGAAGCAGTTTTATGAGAAGGCCGATTAATCATGTCGACTTTGCTTTTTTGGCTCGCATAAGAACTTTCGGACGATACTTTACAGGCTGTGATTTTCTCCTAAGAGTATACGAGATGTTCGGCATTCTCGACGAGCAATGCGTCTGTGTATTAAACGAATAAAAATTCCGGGTACAGATTTGAGAAACTTATTAAAGTTACGTATTGTAGACACGATCATGATACGATTTCTACTTGTAGGCAGGCTAACGTATTGATTTATCTTTGCCAATAGCAGTATATACAACATGGATCTTCTCGAAATAACAATATTTTCAGTTACGTATTAAATAACTTTATAATCGCATATTTATAAATCAATTCGAATAAAAGAATATTTCCCGAAGAGCGTTGATAGCGTAAATAGAAATAAAATGCCTGTGCTACTGCAACACCATAATTTTGTCTAATATCAAAAGTGCTGTTGTCGCGAATATGTATCTGCTTGAAAGTGAAACTAATCTGAACTGGCGATCGAAATTCCTGGAATAAACTTATGGAACCTTTAGAATGCGCGATAATTAGGTTAAAGGTGATTGCCTCGGAACGTCAAAGGGCGCATACTTTGGGCATGTAATCATGTAAACAAAACATTGTGTACTTGACTTACGTGGAGGTAATCTCTGTTGCCACCATTAGTGTCACAGTTCGATTGTCCCGACTGCTTCTGTCCATCACCCATCAAAGAGCCACGAGGAAGTCCAAGGCCAAAGAGTTCGGTTATCGACATATCTAAAGACAAAAAAAGATTAGTGTAAATATCTAAATAATTGCGGAAGTATTGTAATTATTATTTAAAATAAGTAATTGATCATATGAAATAATATTACGTAATAATTGATTGGTTATCAAATAATAGTGCACAAAATGTTATTAGAACAAAGTTTGTTCGCCCTTGAAAATCGAATCAATCATTGAAAGAGCTTGTGGCCGAACATACAAACGAGTACAAAGAAGTGCGGAGATAAATAGACTATGAAGTAGCTAGTTTTTATAAATATAAACAACTTTTTATAAATAATAAACGAATCATTCGGTTTAATTCCGTCAATTCACACAATTCATCAATTCTGCTTCGTGAACAAAATCAAAGTGTTAACAAAATGAAAAATGACAAAAATTTTGATATTTCCAAGTGGATAATTTTTCTTAGTACGGAAATGCGTTAAAAATATAGCCAACATCTATGAAAATAAACAGAAAAGCGCGCATCTCGGAAACAAAAATCAGCTGGAAATAACGTAAAAGAAAATCTACGGCCAACATGAAAAGCAGGTAAACATAGTGGGATCTCCAAATCCCTGTTGTTAAATAAGCCTTGCTCTCATTAAATCGTGTAATGAAAAATGCCATTTGGTGCGCGCGCGTAAATATTATTGTGAGTCGCGATTATACATATTACCAGTGAATAGCAAATACAGGATATCAAAATTCATGGAAAATCTGTTACCTTCCAAACCAGTCGCAGTAGTTTTTGTCGGCGACGCCATGGAACCGCCGAAAGATGAGCTAGGCGATAAGGGCGGCGGCATTTCCAATAGCAAATTGTTGATGGACTGCAACTGATGCAAGTGTTGTTCGCGCTCGTGCTGTTGTAATTTGTTGTCGCGGATGTACTCTTGATACTGTTGCTGCTGCTGTTGCAATTTGTTGTCGCGAATGTGCTCCTGATACTGTTGCTGCTGCTGTAAGCTCGAACTGTTGCTGTCCTCGCCACCAGTCAACAATTTCTCCGAATCGTATTGGTAGGCTGCGAGCTGCGAATCACACAAGTTTTGGTTTACACGTGATCAATTTTGAGAAATTTTGTAATTTTCTGGCCTGCGCACACCATTGTTTGTCAATATGTTTTTTAACGTTCGCGTTACTACACGCTGCGCGTATTATTTTTATTTCGACATTTTGACTTTTGACAATTTTCGTAGAATTTCGATTTATTGTTATAGAGGTCGAAAACGAGCAATATACTAGACCGAACAATCAAAGCAACAATTAATAGCAAAATAACATCTCGTGAAAAAGATAGTACAACTATAAAAGAAAAAAAGTCGGGCAATAACTCGACAGGCTATTTTGCTTATTGCGCGAATGAGAAAGGACTTTGTCAGCACTTGCAACAGCATACACTTGGCGGGGAACGAGAAGAGGGTTTATATGAAATCGGCGAACGGTGATCGATTGAATTTCCAAGTGTGTCTCGTCGAAAGTAAATAGGAGTATCTCTCGTAGGTGAAAATTTGGAAAATTTCCGGGAAAGCTAGGGCAAGCTTTGAAGTTCGTGTCTGATAGGAGATACACAGCCTTGTGCTCCCGGAGTATTTACAAACAGACCAAGACGACATTCTTAAGATGTTTCGATGGGGTATTTTCTCACGCTTCCTCGCGAGTGCCGCGAAAAATGACTAAATCGGCTCGAAGAATTTTTAGGCCTTTCTCGTAATGCACATGCTTACTTATTCCTTTGACCCTGGCAGTAACGTGGGGATCGATTCGATTTTCAAGGTTGATCATTTGGACTGACGATTGGTTTTTAACCTCGCGAATGTCGAGCAATTTTTTTGTTTGACCGGCACACGTTGCGAATACAACAATTCGAGCCACTAATTTCTTTGAATTAACACTACCTTGTATTCACTACTTTTCACTTGTCCCCGTGTACACGAAATTCTGTAACGATAAAGCAAAAATCGTGCGAAACCGATTCCACGTAATACCGCGGGCAAATGAAATACAGGAGAAAAAAATCGAAATGACAGCCGAAAACAAAAAGCCGACGACAAAATGAATACCGTGAAATATTGCTAGCGATGTGCAGTCATTTACCTGTTGCAAAAGAGTAGTCATCTCGGCGATTTGTCTGTCGAAAGTTTTCGGCAATAACAATGAGAAATGAATCTCACCCTCGTATACACAAATGCTCGTCCCAACAAGCGTGAGCGCAAGCTCGTTAGGTGTCGAAAAAAAAAAGTTGAACACACAATAAGCCCACACTCCTGGTTGAAAAATCAAGCAGCTCTACACACCACGACTGCTTCCCGCGTACTGAATTTAATCCCTTATGTCGCGTGCTTGCTTCTCGCCGGTCTACCGAAAGTCGTCTACGAGTTACGATGCGCAAGTGCCGGCGCTCTCTTACCGATTGACCGTGCTCGCTATCGAGCTACACAAGTCGGCAACGGCGGCGACCGCTTTGCGCGATTCGACTCGCGTCGTCTTTGTTCAACGCGCCAATCAAGTGCCGGAGGGCGTAAGAGAGAGAAAGAGAGATAGATGATGGGTAAGTGTGCGAATAACTTTCGGACGGTGTGCTGGAGAAAATCGTAGAAATTAAATTCCAGGAAAAATGTTATTTATTGGTAGGTTGCGGATTAGCTTATATGGTATCGATTTACTTGAATGTTGACTTGATATATAACGTAACTAGATATACTACATTGATATTGACTGAAATATAAGCTTGTAATTTTGTGTATGTAAATCATAAGTTTTTTAATTTATTGAAGCAAATTAAATTTTTATATCTAGGCAATAAATTAATTGAAAAAATTATTTTACATCCATGTAGTTTATCAATAAGAGTAAACAAGCAATTAACAATGGGTAAAAAAATTTATTTGCTTTATTACATTTACTCTTCTAATTTCATATTAGAAGAATCTGCCATTTCTATTTCAGAGCTCATTTCATTAGATGAAAAGTCTTCATTCTTGGCAGAACTATCACCCCAGCCAGAAAACAAGTTTCTTTTCAAATTATCCATTTGTTGGTCTTCAACTTCCGAAGTTGACGTATTATTAGTTGATTGTTCTCTTTTTCTTTGACTACCAGGAAATGGATAGCTTGGAATTTCTAATGGACAATCTAAAAATGGAAATTTTAATATTTATTTTTAAATATTCTTAAATATTCTTCTTAAATATTCTAGGTTTAAATATTTTTTAATTTGTTAATTAGATCACCTGGAAATGGACTTGAATCAGTAACAAGTTGTTCCATAACGAATCCTAATAAAGTAGTAGTAAAAGTATCATCACGACGAAAACTCAGAGCACGATGACATGCATCTACTGATTCTTCAGTATTTCCCATAAGTGCATGGATAAAACCTATAGCTGAATATGTTGCTGGGTTCATTGGGTTCAAAACTAATGCCTAAAAGAGACATTTATCATTTTACTGTTGAGTAAACACATTTAAATTGAGATCAAATCGAACTTTTAATGCTTACTTGTTGATGATATTCTAATGCTTTGTCATACTTTTTTAATTTTCGACATGTATGACCTAAATTATTCAATAAGGATTCCCATTTGTTTGGAAGCATTACTTCCTTTAGTCCATTTTGAATTTTGTTCATGGCTTCTTTGAATTGCTTCTCTGCTGTTTTATAGCTACAATAAAAATGGCATAAGTAATCTGTAACATTGTTGATTTAAACAATAAGATGAGAAAATTTTACTCTAAATTGTAAAAGGATATGACAGCAGTTTCATGAATAACAAAGGGATCATTTGGTGCAATACATTGAGCTTGTTGGAAAAATTTGTCTGCCAATTTCAAATTATTTGTAAGACCACATTCAAGTCCAATATAAAGTAATGGCAAATGACAGCCCTTCATTAATTGTGAAGCTTTGAAATAAGCAGCCATTGCTTGATCATGCTCATTTTCTACAGCAAATGAATGACCATAAGCAAGCCAAGCTGGACCAAAAAGGCGATCTAGCGATGTGGCTTTTGCTAAATATCTTCTTGCTGGGTCACTTTTGCCTATACTGTAATAGTAACAACCAACAGCAAACCATGCTAATGCTAAGTCAGGATATAAATCTACTAGTTTATGAGCCAAGTAAAATAGAGCTGAAACAAAAATTAACATTAAAATTTATAACTATACTTTCTTAAATTATAACAATTTTTTATTAATAAAAGATACCATTAGTTTTTCTCAATTCTACTAAACATGCTATGTGAACTGGTAAGCAACCACTGTGGTATGGATCACTTTTCAATATACTGAAAAATGATTCAATTGATGATAACGTTTTTTTTAATTTATTTATAAATATATTTCAATAAAAATTACTAAGAACCTCTCTGTTAGTGAAAAGCATTGGTGATAATCACAATTGTAATACAATCTCTCTGCTTCAGAAACTTGTATGTCTAAATTATGCCTCAATCGATCTGTGACCAGTACACCACAAGAAACAAGTATGTTATTTTCAGCTGGTGCATGATATTTTTTCAATTTACTTTCATAAAGTAATTTTAGTAGTTCAGCATCAGCTTCTTTACATTGTTCTGCAAACGGCAAGGATTCAAGCAATTCTTGTTCTAAAAATATATGTGAACTAGTGAAAAATTTAGTAGGTGACAGAATAATCTGGAAAAAATGATTTTAAACCTTCAGCTGCTGAGAGCATTTGATTTTGTACAAGAGCTTCAAAAGCTTGGTATGAATAGACATCACAATGGAGAGCTTGTTTGTAACATTCGGTTGCCACTGCTCTGTTATCCATTGCTTCATATACTCTTCCTTTTACATATGAAATAGCGCTTTGTACCTAAAATAAAAACCCCATTTAAAATAAGAATTATAAAATTATTCAAATTCCTATTCCGATACTGAATTTAAATGCTTACTAACATTTTTAGGAGCATCGTCCAAGACTATAGAATGCTCAAAACTTGGTTCTGTTTGATTAACATTTGATACATTACACAGTGTTTCAAATTCATTAATAACTTGAACAGCTTCTGCAAATTCTTTTGCTTCAAGTAAACAGCGCACCAGTAAATAATGGCACATAACATGTTTCTATATATATAAATCATAAAACAAATAAGTAAATTTTTTATTTTGATGTGATATTAATAAAAAATAAGTTATAGAACAAACCTTTTCAAGACCACGACTTCTAATCAAATGTGCAGCTCTATGGTATTGTTTCATTAGATACATACATTGTGCTAAAACACAAACATCTTTTAAATTTTCTTTACTTAATGAAAGTACTTTATCAGCCCAAAATAATGCTGCACTGTATAAATGCTGTAATAAAAATGAATAATAAATCTTCAAGTTCACTGACAAACTATTCTAGGTTGAAACATGACACTTACTAAATCAATATAATTCTTAACTAATTTTCTATATGCGTCTAAATCAAGATTCTTATTTTCTAAAATATTACTCATTCTCTCACAATCTATACTTATATCTTGATTAGACATTTTTGCTGCTAAGGATTTTACCAAATTTTTAGGTTAATGAGTAAATATTTTCATTTTTGTCGATAAAACTTTTTCAAAGCAATTTATACACATAAAAAGTAATTTAATTATAGAACTAATATATTTAAAATACTTAATGTCTCAAAAACATAACAGAATTCTTCCTATTCTTCCTATCATTCAAAAATTATATAAAAACTCCACACAAATACTCAGTCGATAACAAAGGGAACTAGATAGGTAATAAATAAAAAGAATATATATATATATATAATAACTGTAAGATTTTATTTTTTTTTTCGTATCAATAGAAGTAATCACATTCTTTTGATAAAAAATGTTTCACAGTGGGAAATGAAAACATTAAGTTAATGATTATTCGCGTTGAAACGACCAAATTTTTTTCTATCTTTATATGTATCATTATTTATTAGCAAACTATTTAAATGTAACTATCAACGCCATCCCTTAACAGAAAAAAGAAAACATGTTATACAATATACAACAGTTACGACTGTAATCGCTATATCATGGCATTTCACTTGTTTGAAAAATCTTCAATAAATGCTTTCTTTTTTTTTAATATGAGAAAGTTACAACTCTCCTGTTTGTACTTTTCCAATATTTACTTAACTTTTTGTATGCACACACATTAACTATCAAATTTTTTATTTTTCAAATAGATAGTGCTGTATGCAGATCAATCGTAGTGAATTTCAAACTAATCTTTATACTTTGCAGCAGAACTGTGACAGTCATTTAACTTGTTTTTTTTTTATATCGTCAGACACAAATATGAATATTCAAACAAACTTATCTAGTTCTAATATTTTCAGTATGAACATTCAATTCCTTGCTTACATTGGTAAAATCAAAATTTGCACTCACACCTAATAAAAATCTGTTTTATTGTATTTATTCAATATTTCTTATGCTGTCTTGATCTGGGAAAAAATGGCCAAATAATGAAAATGTAAATAACGCTGTGAGTCCACTTAGTGCTAATGTTGTGGTCACAGTGAACAACTGGGCATAATGATATCTGATGTACCAAGCAAGGCCTAAGATAAGAGTTACCAAACTGACCAGCAGTCTACTAAGATCCCACTCTGTTTGTACAGATCCAAAACCTGTGCCATTGGGCATATTTTGAAAGGTTGGTGGATTAAAATACAAACGTGAAGAACTATCTAATGAATTTTGAGTTACTGGAGCAGGGCGCTGTTGATGTATTAAACAGTGAACCACACAATTGTTGAAAAATCCACATTGCTCTAAGGTCACATTATCGGGTTGAAGGACTTGGCCATTAAAAACCAGACGAACTAATTTTCTTGATTCAAGTTCACATTGGAAATGCCTCCTAAAAATATATAGTTTGATCATTCATCAAAAGGAATTGATTTTCTTTAAAAATGTATAATTAACAAGATGTTACATACCTTTTAAAATCACCAAGCATTTCCTTAAGACTACCAGTAACTAATTTTTGATCATCGTTAATAAACTTTAGCTTTATGGAAATCTTATGTTCATTGTCATTGGACAACGTAGGTTCCGTTTGTTCTGCGTCAGCAGATAGTGTTGATGTCTCAGTTGTGGTCACATTTTCATCTTCTTTATTATCCTGTTGTAACAATTGCTCATTTGACTCTTCAGTGGTAAAGGAGTCCATTGCTTGTATGAGAACTTCCTCATTTGCAGCTGCCGGAGTTACATTGATTTCAGTAGCAACTTGACTTGTAGCTACAATAAAATAGTACGATTACATTAACATAGCATAACATGGTATTAACGAGTGGATCAATGAGCAAAAATTTTTATACCAGGAAGAGAAGTTTCTGGACAACTAGGCTCTACCTCGCTATTACTATCCGAATTCGATTGCCTTGATTCATTTTCCGAGTTTTCCGAGTTATGCTGTTGTTGAGCTAGAGCCAATACTTGTTGATTAGCTCGCAACGCAGCGATTCGTGTGCGGGTTCGATGCTGCAAAATCAACACTGTACGTATCAAAGGTTGATCGGCGATATTGGTTGAACACCATGCGACCCATCCGACAAACAGGACTCCAACAACAATAAAGAAATTCAAGACTTCATCGCCCACACCTTCAATTAATGTCATCTTTCGCACGTCAGTGAGCATCTGATTAAAGAGTAGGAATTGAATGATTATGACGAAACAATGCAAACAGTTGTTCAATCATTGTACGTGTATATATCGAGAGACAATGGGTGATATGCAAAGCAGAATAAATAATGTAACCCCGACCATTTGAAAGTTTGACCGAGATAAGCCTTACCTAATTTTAGCCTGGATTCCGAGTGGGTGTGCTTCAGTGCAACACTTATTCCGTCAGAATCACAAGAATATATGATGATTTCTCAAAAACATTTGGGCAAATATACGCTTATTCTTGACAGCTGACTCTGTTCCTATACAAAACTAACTAACAAAATGCCTTCCGTGGCCTTGTTTACCCATTAGTGATTGTATTACTAGTAAAATTTTTATCGTCAGCACTGACATGAACTAGGGAATTTTGGCGTGGCCTGAAGCTGGCTTCTAGTGATTGGTATTTTGCGCATTAAATATAAACACTTCGTTTGATTGCGCATGCACTTATATTTGTTTTGAGTTTTGACTACACAATGCTGATACAAAGTGTTGGTTCGTAACGTGGATTATCTTTCTATATATTTATGCTAATGAGAATAAGACATCTTATCTCTAGTTTATACCGCTAATTGATGAGACATATGATTTTCGTGAATCTGGTGATGCTGTCATATTTCACGGTAAGTCTATTATTATGATATAACTAAGAACTATTGGTACTGATATATCTAATAAAATATACGAACTCCGATGTTTTTCAAATAGAATAAATGATGATGTTTAACGGATTCTAAAATTCAAGATCCCCGCGGTGTATCTAGATTATTATTTCCTTTAAGTTTAATACATAATCTCTAAATATATCCCTCTGAGCCAGTCGAAAACATATACACCACTGTTAAAAATAGAGATGACAACATACAAGATTTAAAATTAAAAATCAACAGAAACAGTTTAAAGACAGAAGACTTCAAGATGGATACTTCAAAAACACCAATGGATAATTTAATGAATATGTTATCGGGTCTAAGTATCGGGCATGAAAAAGCTTTAAAGCAAGGAATTTACAATGCAGTTGCATTATTGTTACTGTGTGTTGTGTGTGCAGCAGGATTTGGACTTTATCTTGTTTTACATCCATTTCTAAAACCATTGATATGGGCTCTACTGTGTGGTGCAGTTTTATTTCCGTTCAAGTCTTCGTTAACAACAATAGTACAATCTTGGTTTGCTTCAACTGAAGATTCTCACAAACCCTTTTTGTTCAGCTTATCAGTAGTTCCTATTAGTATATTTGATAAGATTTCTGAAGTCGTTGGCTCAGTTGTACACAAACATCTTAAATACATAATTGGTGCTGTATTAGCATTATTTGGTCTATTAATAGTTTATAGATATACACCAAATATTTTATGCTGTCTAACATGGAGGATATTTTCATTATCAACTGCCTTCCTTAGTCTTATTATATCAGTTTGTAATAGTTATATTGTAAGTTTAAATCAAATTATATATGGACATCTATTCTATCCTATAGCTGATAGCTTGTTAATATAAAAAAAATAAATTATACTTTTCAGATCAGTGCTGCTATCATAGGATATCTATCAATATTATATTTATATTGGACACCAAAAAAAAATATTCATTTTTGTTATGGTTCATTCATTATTTGGCTCTTAATCAGCATTTACCTGTCAAATGCTCTAGGGACGTATCCAGTATTTATATTCTGCGGTGTTCAAGTTTTATATTTGGTTGGATTTATTTATGAACTTGTATTAGTAATAGAACAACAAGAAATCCAAGGCAGAAGTAGTTCACTTATGCAAGCAGTGCATTCAGCAATCACAGATGTTGAGATTGCACCATCTAGAAGTTCTACCATGCCAACATTAACAGAAGATGAGTCATTGTCAGAAAGTACTGAAGAAATAGGAACAATACAAAAATTACTGGAACCTAAAGTTTCATTTCCTAAACCTTTCTTGAAAGCTGCTGGTAGATCTATATCTATGGATGCTGATGTAGGAAAGCCCATTCAAGATAAGCTGACTAGAAAAGCCAAGTCAACAAGTAGTATGTCTTCCGATAAAATATCCATTTCAGATCGCTACTTTTTGAAAAAATTACGCTCTGAATTACGCATGACAGTAGATATGGGGAACAACGATGTTGATACCGATAAATATATGTATGGTGCTATGTATGCTTGTATTGGAATGATTTTATGGAAGCATAAATGGATAATAGTCATTCTGATAGTACCAGTAATTTATTATTATTTAAAAAGATTAATATCTTACTTTGGATTTGGAAATATAATACTTAGTAAATGTTACAAATTTACCAAGCCCATAAAAGCTTGGTGTTATGAAAGACATCAGGCATTGATTCCAGTAAATGTAAGAGGCCTTTACAAAGTTAGTATTATAGTTGATCAGAAAGTGACTCAAATTCTGAAAGGATCTGTAGATGCTGTAGCCACAACTGCAGTTATTGTTGGACTGATAGTATTTGTTATATGTACCTCAGTATTTATTACTTTTCAAGTAAGTAAAAATCTCTACTAATTCTTTTCTTTTCTACTGAAAATCATTTTAAATATGACATCCCCTATATTTATGTTCAGGTTTATACAGAAGGAATGCACATTATTCAAATAAGTGGAGAGATTTTAAATTCTACTTTACTCAATCACCGAGATATTGATTGGGTTCCTGAACAATGGGAGGAGTCTGTAAATAGTGTACTGGACAATGCATATGTTTATGGGCGTACAGCCATTTCGGATGGGGTAAACATTATTATTTGAAAATAATTTATCAATGCTAATCATGACTAAAAATGACTTATCATTGTATTTAGATCAAGAAATTTGTGAAGGATTTGGAACCTGTGAAAGCAGAGCAAATGGAAAAGAAAGTCTTGGAACTTTGGGATAGACTATATCAAGCTTGGATGATGTCTAATGAAGGTTCAGATATGATTGGCCCAACTGTTGATGCAAATGTTGCTTTTTCAGTGTGGGAAAGCTTAAAAGATAGTTTTGGGAAAACTCCCTTTCGTAAGTATACCATTTTGATACTGTAAGCAGCTGCTGCTTAATTTTAATAACATCTTATATTTGACTGATTAATTTCAGAATTATTTAATATGACAAGTATCCAAAATTTCGCCAAAGAAAATGTTGGTATCCTCATGCAAGTTTTGGACTCAATATGGAGCATAGTTAAAGGAAACATGTCTGTAGTTCTTGGAATCATTACTGAGTTATTATACATTGTTTTGATAAGCGGATCAGCAGTTCTTAATTTCCTTCTGAGCATGGTAAAAGAAATTGCTGCTATATCAATTACTTGTTGAATATCATAAACTAAAGAAAATCGTTTATGTTTGTAGGTCGTATTTTTCACGGCATTATTTTACTTACTAAATTCTAGCGGGAAAACGTATAAACCCATTGAATTGATCACTAATTTCAGTCCAATAAGTTGCCACAGGTAAATAACTTTTTAATTTAGTAATCACGCGATACTTACATTCCTTATGATCAATAACAATATAAATTTTATATGAAAAGCAGGTCTGATGAAAAAGGGTATGTCAGAAAAACAAGCGATTAGTGAGTTATTTTGTAGGTAGAAATGTAGTTTTATATATTATTATTGCACAGTATGTTGAAATATTCTGCAATCATGATTTGACAAGTTGTAACAATGATATGTATATACATTTGTCTTACAAAATATTGTGTTTATTAGCTAATAATTTTATTTTATTGCTGGGTACTTTTATAAGGAAATGGTTGAATAAAATATTGTATCTACAATTGTCTAATAATATTTTGTTTGGTAGATTTGCAATGGCTCTACAAGAATCTGTGATTGGAGTATTTACTGCAACATTCAAATTAGCATCCTTTTTTGGCATGTGGACATGGTTCATGCACAATCTGTTCCAAGTGAAAATCGTGTACCTACCATCAGTTTTTGCAACTTTACTGGGAGCAGTTCCATTTCTTGATGCATGTTTTGCTAGCATACCAGCTGCTCTTGAACTATGGTTTACTAGAGGACCATTTATAGCGATTATTTTCTTTTCATTCCATTTTCTCGCTTCTAACATCGTTATATCTGAATTCTACATGGAAATAAAAGGGTGATTATTCATTAAAAATAACATACTTAAGATTATTTTAAATTGCAGTTAACAATGGATACTTTCATTTTAGGGGTGGGCATCCATATCTCACAGGTTTGTCTATAGCAGGAGGTGTATTCTGTTTGGGAATTGAGGGAGCTATTTTCGGACCTTTACTTCTTTGTTGCATTATGGTAGCTATTAATTTGAGCAGAAGATATCTTCAATCTCCTTCGGAAGAAGCAATAAATTCAATCAGATCTGAAATTGATCAGTTGGAGTCTTGAGACATAAGTTCGAATTATTTTAATTAAATTACTCAAAGAAGAACGCTACTCATTATAACTAACATAATTAAAAGACTGTGCCTTTTTGATGTAATATAGTACATTACGATACAAGTGCGGGAAAGTAGATTCTTGTCTCGTGTGGCATTTACGCCCGAGCGAAGCGAGGGTAGAAAGGTACACGAAACGAAAAACTCTTTCTCGAACGTGTGTGGTACCGTATTTTTTTATACGACGTGTGGAAAGTATGATTTTCAACGCACGTTTTCTGCCTAGCCTGCAGGAAAGATGCACTTTACGCACGAAGCATCAAAAATATTATTATTATTATTATACTGCGACAACTCTCACTAGCATAATAACTAAAAAATCTTAACTTAAACTGTGATTAAGAATTTTTTATAATTGTAAAATTTATAACATAATTTTTTAGATATTTGTAAAAAGTTAATATTTTTTTATTCACGTGATTAAAGAGTGATTATTTTCTATGTAGTTTTTGAAACTTGTAATTTTTATATTTTTAGTATTCAATCAAAAACGTTCTTAGCTGTTGATCAGTAAAGAAAAGTAATATTCATTTGTTTTTGTTTGTATTTATTGTAAAACATGTGACATAATATATTTAATTATTATAAAAAGTATTTATAAATTCATGTGATCGCTAACGTCAAATAAATTTACTTAAAACATGTTTTGGCATTTATATTTTTATTTAACATAAAAATGATAAGTGATATAACATATACTGTTGGCGCTGCGTTGGTCACCATTCTTCTGATATTAATAATATTCGAAGTCTACCTTCATTATGATATGTACTTTCCTCCGCAATAAAGGTTAGATAGCTATGTTTATTAATATCCACATGAAAAAAATTAAAATTTATTACGTTTATCCAGTTGATCAACTACAATTTGTATATCGGCATATCTTTGATTAGAATCGTAAATGCGTGAAAGAGATGTTATCATTAAGTTTTTTATTATATTTTGTAATGTCGTGGACTCTTGAGCTTCGAATGTAATTATTTTCTTTCCACGTAAAATATGAAAACCATTTTCAGAAAATTGACCAGCAATGTTCCCTACTTCCAGCCAAACAAACAATGCTATTTTAGTTGATACGATTTGAATTTCAAATATTTGATTTTTTAATAATTCATTAGATTTGGGCTTAACTTTGACCTAGAATGTATAATATTTATGTGTGAATTAATTAGCCTAATGATTTTTTAACCACATTATTACGCTTACATACCATAACAGAATCCTTTGGCAAAGAAACTTTTTTTAACGGATGTGGATAAACGTAATTTGTTGGAGCTATTTTTTTATCATTTTCGTCTTTCAAAATTAATTCAATCATACAATTTTCTTTTGCAGTTGCTAAAGTTCCACACCCTGCTCTTTCTAAGAAAACATCAATCCACTTTTGCGCAATGAGCCGCGATTCATTAGGTCCCTTTGATTTTATAAAAACAATTCAATTAAGTACTTTATTATTTTTCTATCTTTCTGCAAAGACTTGAGTAAGCTCAGTTCTTTTTAATAAATCGCTTGAGATTCTCAAGCGTTTGCAGAATATTATTGTTATAATACGTATTTAATTTTAATACAGCCCTACCTACCACTGTAATATTAGTAAGTTGAGTAGTAAGAATTGATTTAGAATTCTTCCATTCGTATACAACAACATCAATGCTCAAATTTGTAAGTTCATGAAGCAGATCGGAAACTACGTATATCATCAGTTCGTTAGCTTGCGTTAACCGCGGTGTGACAATAACAGGTGAGAAAAAATCTTTGACATAGTAATGTAACATTTTCCAACGTCCCTCAAAATCTATTACAAAATTGCAGAGCAGTAATAAAAATTTTGTTTTTTTACAATAAAATAGATTACTTACCAATTGACGACCATGACGGAGCTTGCCAAACATCATTGAGTTGCCAGTACAAAGCACCCATAGTCATACCCTCTCCTATATTATTAAACAAACTCTTCATTTGACGATATGATTCAGTTTGTATCCTCATTGAAACTGCCTGTGTTACTTGACTCAGGTAAATATAGTCTATAATGTCTTTCAATTGATTGTCACTTTTTGGAATGTTGAAATTTTTAGAAATCAGTAACTTCATAAAATTATATCCTAGAGGTAGATGTTGACGGTGTTTCATGAAAGTGCTGTTCAACGCGAGATCGCTCGCATTTTTGGTAGCAGACATCAAAGTCCATATAGAAGGTAACCCTTGGAACCCATATTCAGATGCAAATCTTGTAATTGGATACTGATTTATGTCCCAACCATTTTTCAAGTAGTTGTAATAATGAACTGAAAAATTAAACTATATTTGTCTCAAATTTTCGTTAGATACTTTATAAAAATAAATTACCATCTCCATATAAGTTAGAATAAGGATTCGATCCAGTATAATTTTGTTGTTCACTGTACAAACCATTGCTAGGACTAGACACTACAAATGGCCTTGTGGTGTCAATAACAACTGCTTCACTTTTAATAGTATTAACATAAAGTTTAACATAATCATCTCTGTAGACCTGTGCTTCCCCAGTACCATACCAGTCTCCATAAAGCGCAGCTTCATTTTCATTGTTACCAGCCCAAAGTACAATACTTGGGTGATGTTTCAATCTTATCATATTCTGAGTCACTTCTTCTTTGACACTGTCAAGAAATGACTCATTTGTTGGGTACATATTGCAAGCAAACATAAAATCTTGCCAGATCATAATACCATATTCATCAGCAAGATCATAAAAAAGATCTGATTCATAAACGCCTCCACCCCATACTCTTAACATGTTCATATGAGTATCCTTAGTAGATTTGAGCAAATATTCTACAGTTTTTTTATCAACTAATTTTTCTGGAAATACACTTGAAGGAATCCAGTTGCTCCCTTTTGCAAATACAGAAATTCCATTCACCTTGAAATAAAAACTAAGTCCTTTTTCTAATGGATCCTGTATCAATTCAACAGTTCTGAATCCAATTTTCATTTTTTTTTCAACTACATCTATACCATTTATTACTTTTACTTGTAATGAGTATAATTTTGGCTCACCATAACCATTTGGCCACCAAAGTTTTACTTTATTCTAAATAAATTATTTAACAGTCAGTTTTTATAAAAATAAAAATTCTTGCTTAGCGAAAAGTGTACTCACAATAGGTATATTCAGCAACACAATTGCTTTGGCGTGATTATTAATAAATTTAAGATTGTTAAAGTAACTACCATTTGAATATTTTTCATCTAGTGTACATTTCACATGGATTGTTTCACTGATATCTGTTATGTTCTCTCCAAACATTTGAAAATATACTGTAACAACAACTTCAAATAAATTATTTTTCTTCACTACATCAGTAGTAATTTCTGAAATTAAAATATTTTGTACAGGTTTTAGCTCAACATCCTTCCTAAAATTTCAATAACAAGACATTACTATAGTACATTAATGTTTATGAGCATAATGAGATAAAATAAACTTACCAAATACCTACTGAAGGAAAAGCTGGTCCCCAATCCCAACTGAAGCTAGCTGGCATCTTTCTTATATGATTTACATGGCATTCTCCATTGTATTCTTTTGGCACACAAGTAGGTGGTATAACATAGTTTACACTTTGAATAGTGTATAATTTATCAGCAACTTTTATCGGAGAATCAAATATCACTTTTAATTCATTTTTACCTATCTGAAAAGTGTAATCTTTAAATTAAATACATTTTTTATATGGAATCTTTCTAAATAGATATGAAGTACATACCTTTAGGTATTTTTTTATTTCAAAATTGTATTGTAAGTACATATTTTGTGCTTTACCAATAATATGATTATTTATGTATATTGTTGCAAATGTATCTAATCCATGAAAAACTAATATTATGTGTGGTGTGGTAAGCAAGCTGTTGTTGACTGAAAATTCATAGAAAATTAAATATTTATTACTACAAAAAAAAAACCAGGAAATTATAAAAATTAACTAGAAGGTACCTGTAATGTCAGTGACATAAGCAATGGATTTGTTTGCCACCCATCGATTATTGACATCATTAAAGCCTACTAAATTTTTTTTAATTATTCCAGCATTTTCCAAATCACTGTAAATACCACCAGGCACATCAGCAGAGAAAGAAGAGCCTAAAAAAGACAGAAAATAAGTTTTGATAAAATATGATTACTATTGAAAGGAAAAATTAGACATATTGTTAAAAATGCTTTTACCTGTTGGTAATATGAAACCTTTCCATTTTCCATTTAATGAAATTGATATAGTTGTATGAATATAGAAGCTCAAAACAATTATGATAGATTTAAAGCAATACATTTTAAACGTAATTTAGTTGAATAATAACCTTGAAATCATTCTAATTTAAGTTTAAAAATTTATTTTAAATAATAATTATAAAAGTGTTGACTATATTCAACTGTCTTTAAAAAATGAACAAAGGAAATTTAAATATAAGTATGTTATTTCTAAATTTAGAATATTTCCTGCTTGCTAAATTTAATATCTAAAGTATTTCATTTTTTTATTATGCTCACTTATATATACTACACAAGAGTGACTAGAGTGTTTACACCGTATCTAAAGATTAGATATGGTAAATATTTTAAATCAATCAATGGACAATGGCAAACGGTAAAGAAGATTGACAGCATTTATCAAATAAAGCATTTCAATGATTAAGTGATTATCATAAAGATATATCATGATTTATTCAAAAATTAATTTCAGAGTGATTATTGGCTGTTCAACGTTCAAATTACCGTTTTTATTAAAGTAGCGCTAAAATTAAGTCACAGTCCAAGGTATTTTATTATGTTCTATATGTAATAATTGTACTTATTTTGTAATAAATTTCATTTTTTCACATTTTGGTGGCTTGTGCGATTTTTACTTTGATTAAATGAAATCTATGCAATATTAAACTGAAATGAATAATAATCTAATTGTCTATATCGACAAATATTCTGCAAGCATCATTTTTCTCTGTTAGTTTAAAGGACGTATCACAGAAATTTAAACTGACAATCGGCTCATTTTTTATTTAAACAAGTAATTAAATGACAATAAAAGACTTAAATATAAACTTCAAAGCTAGTAGAATAAACCCAGATTATTTAAATCATTGAAAAATGGAAAGTAAAAGAAATATTGACTATAAAAGACCCCTATATATTTTAATCATTCAAAATAATCGAATGTAATAAAAGACATAAATGTCAGAACCCAACTAGTTTCACTGTAACAAATAATTTTTCCTAAAAAGAGACTGACTTCGTCTTTATTTTTTTGCATTTACTTGAAAAGTCATTCTTTAATCAAGTCAATAATAAAATAGGACCAACTTACTAATATACCCTTTTAAATGAGCCCATCCCCATCAAAATCGGCTGAACCTTTCGAGAGATATATGCGAACATACATACATAACAAATTTTTTAAATTCATATCGAGAATGCCAAACATGCTCTTTTTTTTAAATCGGCAAAAAATAATTAAAGCAGCATTTCGTGACCAAAACAGCTTAGTTATTGTTAAACGCTGATAAGAACCTTTGACAAATGAATGAGTAAAAATATAATACTGAAGTTAAATCAAAAATTTTAAATATATTTCATTTACATACAATAAAAAAATGAAATGCGCCATATTATATCATAATAGCCGCTTTAGCATTTTCAAATGCTTAATTAAATAACCTAAATCTTCTGTTTCTCTTTCTTTGCTGCCTCTGCAATTGCTTCTAATTTTTCATGCTCAGCAATCAATGCCTCAACTTCATTAGCTGGCAAAATTCTTGTTTTCGTTTTTCCATCTATGCGTGTCAAGGTTGCCATTTCCACTGTGGAACAATAAAAAAATAATGTATTGATTGCTTTAACATCTTTCACGAATTTTCTTTTTCTAGTTAATGCATTTTTAACTAGTGATTAGAACATTTTTCATTCATTCTTAATATAATTTTATTTCATTTATATGTTTTAATAATTAAGTAAAAATATCCTGGAATTCAATGCATTCTCAGTGATGCTAATTGCACTAGAAGTAAAAATCAATAAAGAAATTTCAGACACTAAATCAAAAAGTTTTTAAAAAATCCTTTGATTTTCAATCAAAATCATATAGATAGGAATGAAACATTGATTTTAAAAAAAAATAAAATTTTTAAATCCTTAACCAACCTTTGTCAGCAGAAAGTTTGTTCATGTCCAAAGTTTTTGACATAACTTTAATAGCAAGAGCCATAGCATCTTTCAAAGTCATTTCTCCTTCTTTGTATTCCTGTTTCAAAGAAGATACTGCAGCGGCAGAGTTGTTGCCTATGCAAGTGGCTTTCCATCCTCCATAATTTCCACTAGGATCAGACTGATATAATTGATATCCATAATGACGGTCCCACCCCATGTACAAAATTGATACACCAAATGGCCTTTTACCACCATACTGAGTATATGCTTGCTTTACATCACAGAGCCATGAAACTAATTGTTCACAAGGAATAGTTTCTCCATACTGCAGCAAATATCTTTGTCCTATCAAACGCAGTTCATTTGTCAAAACATTTGCATCTGATGTTATACCAGCTACTGAACAGACTACATCATCATTGAGCTTGTAAATTTTTTCAGAGAAAAATACTTCATCTAAGAGTTTATTTGTGTTTCTTTTTTCAGCTGCTAACAAAATTCCGTCATTTGCCAAGATTCCTAAGCAGGTTCCTGCATGACTGATAGCTTCTATAGCATATTCTACTTGGTACAAACGACCTTCTGGAGAAAAGATTGTTGTACGAGTATCGTATCGACGAGCCTAAAATTGAAAAGTTGTATTTTATTATTCTATATATAACGTAAATAAAAACTGCATACAAAACTGTCAATTTTGAAAATACAGATAGTGTTGAAAAATCGTGATTTAACATAAAGCTTTGAATTCGTTGTTAACGTAAGTGTAACGATTCTTTATACAAATGAATATAAAAGCAAGAAATATTATTGGTTGTTTCAATAAACTTCAATAAAAAAGTTATAACAAAATTAAATACTAGATGACAATGCATTTCTCACATAACCTCTCAAACAATCTTTTACTAAGTCGAAGAGGTAAAATAAATTATAATTATGAAATTTTGTTAAATAAGAGTAATCTTCTGATGATATACTTACCATCTTGTACAAAAATTATAGCTGCAATCTTCAATAAAACTTATTTTTGTAACTTCGGCTAGTCGGCTAAATGAATTTTGTCTACAAAGTACAAACCAAGAACCAATTATATTAGTGAAGCGCTAAAGCAGAGCAGACATTGGAAAATTGGAATGCCGAATGTCACGGAGCATGGCATGGGGCTGACGTCTGATGAGGGGGGGGGGTCTTCCCACCGCCAGCAGGCGCTAATACGCCTATTTTAGATTAGTTGTAATTATTCATCTTTCAACAGTAAATATTGTATTTGGAAACAATTGTTATTCGATCACCCTTAGGACTCCATTAAATACATATTTTGGGAGTGCACACTTTATATTAAACATAGAATTAATCTTCTTAAAGAAATCAGACATATATATTAATATAGCACTTATTCTGTAATCTCTCTTCCAGCATCAAATAACTTAAGTGTTGTAGATTGTATGGTGAAATTTATCGTTAACATTGACAGTAAAATTTGACCTAAAATAAATTAATGTTCCTTATTTTATATATTATATTTTGTATTTTATATTAATAGCTTAAGTTTAAATTACGCGCCTTTTAGTATGGAGTATTTTATGTATCATAGTAATGTATATATATAATATGAGCCAATAAAACTATTCCTACTACTATTACTACTACTACGTCTAGTACATGAACATTATATCTATAAATACCTATAGACAGCTAAAGGTGTAAATATTATATTGATAACTATAGATATAATATTTACTCACTTCAAAGTTTTGACATACTAGCGCCGTCTAACGGTGAAAGAATCCCCATGATGATGACTCACATATGGATTCAATCAGTGTATACATTGACAATTGTCGAAAAACACATGTAAGACAATTACTGGAATTTAATGGTGGAATGTTCATTCAGAATTCAAAAAAATATCAGTTATTTTTTAAAACTTCTCTGCAGGCCATTTTTAACTCAAAAATCTTTTTAGTAAACAGTGGCTTTAACCTCTTGTGTAAAAAGTAACCAATGCAATATCTCAATTTCAATCAGTTACGTGAAATTTTAATCGAATTTTTTTGAAGTCCTGCAATTTCCATACACAGTAGATAAGGATGAGAAGAGCACGAATTAAAGCTGTAGCTACTGTGCCAGTACGTAGAAAAGCTGTTCAAGATAGCACTCAAGCAGCACCTCCAGTGCAAACTGATGTAAAAGAATTTGAAAAATTACCAGATAAAATTGACCAATGTAATAATGAATCTGTTGCAATTGATACACAAGAAAAATCAATAGTAAATGTTCTTACACTTCAGTCTCCTCAGCAACTTCCAAGTTCTCCTTTAAAAAATAAAGTTGCAAAATTAGAAAATGCACCAAAATCTCCACAAAAAGGACCATGTATAAGTCATATAAAAGAAGAAGTTCAAGAATCAGAAAATATACCAAAATCTTCACCGAAAACTTCTATCTCTCCTCTAAAAGAAAAAGAATTAGAAAATCTATCACAATCTAAACAGGAAGAACCTACTTCTCTTGTAAAAGAAAAACGATTTTCTGAAATAAATGTACAAGATAATAATAATTTACAGCCATCTCAGAAAAGCGATGTTTCACCGAAACCTACTGTTGCTTCTGTTGAAGGTATTGTATCTTTAAATATTAAAATATGTATAAAGTTTCTTCATTTTTATTTATTTTTTATTTATTTTCAGTTAAAATTCATCAAAGTAGATCACACTTCACAAGGCCAATGCCCAGGTTGGATGGAAGTGGTAGAATCCGAAGAAATAGTATTCAAGGAAGTGGAGCAAGTGCTAGTGAATCAGAAGATGACAGTAGAAGATCAAGCTCTGTTGTACCAAATCGTGTAAGGAATGATTCTGTATCTTCCACTTTTAGTTTGAAAGACACTGGAAATGTGAGCAATATTTCAAAATTAAATCTTGGCCAAAAAAGAAGAATGGTTGTATCAGAATCTGCTAGAAAGCTTGCAGAATCTAGAAGAGAATTTCTTTTAAAACATGAACATAAACCCCCTGATAAGAGTAAGCTAACCATGTATGATTTGATTTATTATAATCCAGTGACAAATCCTATGACACCAAAACCTCCAAATAAACAGGCTGCTAGAAAAAACTCAATCTGCTCGTAAGTCAAAAAATTCATATGTAAACAGTATTCTTTAATCAATATATATATTTAATAAATCTCAATTGCAGAATACATGATTCAAAAGAAGAGAAAATTGTAGATAAACCAGCAGAAATGCTTGTGCCGCAAGTAAAAGTAGGACCAAATGAACAGCTAATAATTGATGAACAAAGTCTTGTCATTGACCAATACAAGGCACAGGAAAATATAGATAGATCAGATATTTTAATAGATGACGAAACTAGTGGTTTTTATAAAAGGCGAAGTAAAAGCAAAGATTGGAGTAAATGGGAGACATTAAAATTTTATAAAGCTTTAAATACTTATGGAACTGACTTTCTTTTAATGAAAAGTATATTTCCTCATAGAACAAGACAAGAATTAAAATTAAAATACAAAAAAGAAGAAAAAATTAATCATAATTTAGTAGAAAAAGCTCTTGTATACCAACAATTTGATACAGAAACATTGGAAAAAGATTTAGGTAAAATAGAATGTATATTTTGGTGTAATAACTAATTTATAATATAAAAATATTTTATTATTATTAATATTATTTACAGCAAAAGTTGATGAGAGCGAAAGATTAGAAACAGAATCAAACAAAAAAGTAAAGAAGAAAGATAAAGAGAAAGACAAAAAGCGAAAGCGTATTAGATGTCGTGAGTCAATTTCTTTTATATTATTACTATATATTTACTTCATAAATAAATTATATGTTCAAATTATTTTCAGAAAAATTGGTAAAAGAACTGAATTGTGAAGATGATCAGAATTCCGATGAAAATAAAAATAGTGGTGAAGAGCAAACAAGTGATGAAGAAAAAATTGAAAAGCCAATTCCAAAAAGAAGACGCGCAACACGTAAACGTAAAATGATGGTATTCGATACAAACAGTGATGGAAGTTTAAATAATGATACTGATAGTAACCCAGAATTGTATGAAATTCAAACAACTCGGTCGGGGCGTACCTCAAGAAAAACCAAAAAACTACAAAAAATTAAAAGAACTACAATTAGTAAAAATAAAGAAGAAACTAAACGAGCACCGAAAATGAATGACAAGAAAAATAATAACGAAAAAAATATCGAAGAAGGAAATCCGAACTGTAACGGAGATAAAAATGAAGATATTATAATTATTGAAGAGCAAACTATAGCAAAAAATATTGATAACAATGACAGTTTAGGGACATCAACAACTGAGACCAAAATATCAACTATTCCCGGTGAATTCACTGATGTGCCTAACATAAAAAATTTAGAACCAGGTTCATGGGTCGTTTTAACAAAAGACAATGCTAATGAACCAGGAAAAAAAATTGTCCAACATTATATTGTCAGTCCTGATTACGATGGTAATAATCCTAGTAGAAAAGACAATTTTATACCTATTACTTTGCCACCAGACGTGATGAACACTGTTATTAATTGTATCGAAAATATTGAGCCAGGAAATATTTCATAAATATGTAATATATATCATAAAATCTGTGTAAAAATGCATTGTCTTGTATATTTTATATACAAAAATTTATTATTATATGTATGTTTGTGTTTAAGTTTCGTTAAGCAAGTATGTTTAATTCTCATAAATTTTGATATATTATTGTATTACAATGTGTATAAATTTTTGTACATGAATACATAAGTATTTACGAATTAATTTTGACTACAAATTATTTTCATTACACTAACATTTTCTAATACTTATTATTTTAATTCAAGTTTTAATTCAATGGTGATAAAAGTTAGGTTTGAGTTTGATAGGAGCTTATGGGCACCAATCACCGTTCACCTCCGATTTATTCTGAATGATTCAGTATACGAATGTAAACTTCGTGCAAAAAAACGTAGGTCCGAGAGTGTAAATATTGATTACATATATTCTTATTGGCTAGTTAAGTATAGAAACAACGATTCACATTAAAATCTATGACTTTTTTTAATAAAAATTTGATAATTAAATTTTAAACCGTGCAAATGTGATAGATATTGTAAAAGTATCTATAACCTATAACCAAGAAGAATAAAAGTTTCGAAAGCAATTAAGTATTAATTGTAATCATGAAACATCAATTTGCCGATGTTAAACCAACATCATCTACAAAAGCCGAAGCTGATGAATGCTTATTTGAGTATCTTCATGGGGAAATGGTAAATTATGTGATCAATCAAACACCGAAAGATGCCAATGTAAGATTGACACTTGTGAAATATATTAATATTTGTTGAAATAAATGTATTAATTTTCATATTTTTTTATTTTCAAAGAACAAGGAGGAAGATCTTTCCAGACTAGAGTGGATGGGTTTTAGTGTTGGATATCGAATTATAGAAAGATTAACAAGGGAATGGCAAAGATTCAAAGATGAGTTGGATATTATTAAGTTTATTTGTACAGATTTTTGGAATAGTTTATATCATAAGCAAGTAGATAATTTACGAACTAATCACCATGGTGTTTATGTACTTCATGATAATGAATTTCGATTATTGGCCAAAGTTGGTAAAAGTGGAAGCAAACAATATTTACAAGAGAGTCCTCGCTTATTAGCTTTTACATGTGGACTCTTGAGAGGTAGTTTAGCAAACCTTGGTATGGCATGTACAGTCAAAGCAGAAGTTGCTAATTTACCAAGCTGTAAATTTCATGTTGAAGTACAAAGAATTTAATCTTAAAATAAATTTTTATTAAATGATTTGTAAGATAAATAAGCTAAATATAAGAAACAATTTATCAAATCAACTAGTTTTTTATTTTTAACCTCATGTTACACATTGTCATAATGATAATTTATGATATATATAAAAAAGTACTACAAGAATGTTCAATCTCACAAAGTTGTATAAAATATCAGTTTGTAAAATAAGTTTCTAAAAATAAAAAAATGTTAAGTACATAACAATTGATGAGAAAATTTGATTTACAATGTAAAATATTATCACAATCACAAACAGCTTTAATTTTTCTGGTGGAAAATGAAATTCAATAGGTCAATTTGAGTAATAATTCCAATTAAAGCACCATCGTTACTTTCGTCAAGAACAACCGCATACAAATCTTTTTGAAGCATTCTAGACAATCTGCCAAGAGTTGTTGCTCTGGAAACTTTTCTATATTCCTTTATAAGTGCCTTATCTGCCAGGTCCATATGCTTGACTTTACCAGAAATAAGGCTACTCATAAGATTGTCAAGAGTAACAAATCCTCTAATATCTCCTTTATCATCAGCCATCGGTATTTGATGGAAGCTTCCTTTTTGAAGAATCGACACAGCCTGTTCACAAGTTGAATGATTTGGTAGAATAATAGGTTTCTTGAAAGCTATTTCGGATACAGGTAGATCCCACCACCATTTATTACTTTCCACTGGTTTCGGAGGTTCCTACAAGCAAAATTAATTAAATTTATTTATCAAAAAAGTTATTTGTTAAATTGATTAATTACCAGGTGATTTCTCGATTCCATCCACAAGTCGGAAACAAACTTGGTCATGTAATTACGAATACCGTCAGGCAAGAGGACAACAACGCGCTTATCAGCCGGCAGATCTTTGGCCACCTTCAATGCCGCTGAGAGAGCAGCTCCACTGCTACCGCCGCATAACAAACCTTCCTCTTTGATCAGCTCTCTTGCCAAGAGGAATGACTCTTTGTCTTTCGTTTTTATCCAAGCGTCGACAACATTGCGATCGAGAACAGTGGGAATAAAGTCGTATCTGCGAATGGAAAATAACGATTCAAGTTACTTTCTGCCACCGTATCGAAAGATGCTGTCTTGTCATCTCGGTTACCCAATGCCCTCGACGTCGTAAAACTGCACCGCGGAATCGTTAATCTCCGGGGGTTCGGCGAGTACACTGCCCTCGGGATCCACAGCCATGATTTTAGTAGCAGGCGATAATTCGCGGAGCTTGCGACCTATTCCACTGATGGTCCCGCCAGTACCAGCGCCACCCACGAAGCAGTCTATTTTTCCATCGCACTGCTGATAAATTTCGGTTCCAGTCTGATCGTAGTGGGCCAGTGGGTTTCCTGCATTGGTATACTGAAAAATACCGAAAATTTGTTCGTTAGAACGGAGAGCTTTCGACTGTCAGCCTATGACTTTCAAGCTTACCTGATCCAGAATGACGCTGTTAGGAATTTCCCTTTGCAATCTCTGCGAAGTGGCAATGTGTCCCTCGGGACTGCTCCAAGCAGCCTCCGTGGGCGTGCGCACGATTTCGGCGCCCAGGGCTTGCAAAGTGTAGACCTTCTCGTTGGACATCTTCTGAGGCATGACTATGATACATTTGTAACCCTTGACTGCTGCCGCCATTGCCAGACCGATCCCCGTGTTGCCACTCGTCGGCTCGATTATCGTGCATCCTGGCTTCAATATGCCCTTGTCTTCGGCCTCTTGAATCATCCGAAATGCAATGCGATCTTTCACCGAGCCGCCTGGATTCATGAACTCGCATTTTGCAACTGCAAAGGTTTATTCAAGTTTGCAGTTATCCTTGACACTGAGCCAATCCTCAGAGGCTACTCACATATCTCGCACTTGATGCCATGATTTTTAGGTATTTTGTTGAGTCTAACCATCGGCGTTTGGCCGATAGCATGGAGAATGTCTGGTAAGATTTTTGTTCTATCGCTCGGCCTGTCAATGAAAGTCGTGAATATTAATTATAAGATAAGCTTGTCAGCAGCATCATGTAACGTGACACGTACGCAAATCTAAAGATACACCAATTCCTCGAACGATTACACTCGAGAGGAAAATGTTTGCTGACGTATGTATGTATTATTCAATGAAAGATAACTCAGGAAAAAAAACAATCTATCGTACGGCGATAAATGTCGAGCCTCCAATGACGAGATTTTTGTCCGGATTGTCCTTCAGTCGAGCGTTATCGCCGAAAGGGCGTTATTTTAGACAAAAACAAAATTTCATAAGTAAGCGTTCGGATAGGCGAAACGCTCGTGTACGTGTTGTTACAGACGTACAGATCGTTCGCGGGTGGTATTGGAACACCGCCGGAATTCAGACCACTTCGAACTGTCCTTTTATATTATTTCGATAAAATTCTATCTGAAAGGCTCTATCTCGTTCTCTTTCTCTTTCGGTCGAACGATGTTTTGTTATTGCCAAATAAAGCGATAAAAATCTCGATCAACGATAAACGTTCTATCTGCAATAGCGCGTGGCTGCCTCGAGTACTCATCTGAAAGCATGTTTATCGGAGTTTCGATATACAATAGGCTCTGTAAATTGAAGTATTTCTTAATTCAAATGCGCGCCACTATCCATGGTAATTAAATTTAGAATTGGCGATTGTCATTCGATCAAAATAGCCTCAATTTTGAGACAACTTTTAACGAATGCCGCAGAGAGGTTACTGACCAACGCAGATCAGTTGTGTATCAATGGATTACGTCAAAATATTTCAACTGTTGAGGAAACGTGCGGCGACGTCGGGCGCAATAAATATCGAGATAGTCGGTAGAAAGAGTGCGAGGCAAATGAAGCTGTACGTGTAAAGGTTCTCGCGCGCGACGAGGGGGAGGGGGGGGATGAAAATAAAGGTCACCAAATAAGATGTAATGAGGATTGTAACAAGGCGTAGTAGTAACATCTGCAAACCGGTTCCCCATTAGTCGCTGCTCGACTTGACTCGCCGCGTGTCGACACTTATACACCCATAAATACACATACGTGCACAGACTCACTTGCTCCGATCCGTATGGGGGCTGTTCGTGCCATTAGGCGTCCATGTGCACTTGCTCTGCAGGTCTGGTCTTATTAATTCAAACTCCATTTTCTCGTTGTCTCGCTCTCGCTGTAGGGTACGTATAACTACTTGTGTTCACTCGAAGACTTCGTCGAGGTAAGTATTGTCGTGTCAAACGGAATATTTTTGCCACGACGAGGACGGAGATGATGAAATGGAGCGGCAGCAAGCCGGCGTTGAATCGATGAGTGCGGCGACGCTGCGACTGACGAGCAGTGCCTATATCGGCTGGCACGGTACAGCGAGAGAGAGAGAGAGAGAGAGAGAGAGACAGATAGAGATATTCTAGCGCCGCTACATCGACGATCCAGAGAAGCCATACGGTATAGCTGGTATAAGTAGTAATTGTTTGATTTGTTCGCAAATCACGATGAAACGACAGCGCAACTTCGCGTTTCGATAGAATCTAAGATATTTGATGGTTTTTCAATTCTATTCATACTTGAAAAGATTTACTTATTTTATATTTGATTTTGCAGTGATAAGGTTAATGTGATAAATCAGCAAATCACATCGCTCTATTGGTTGCCAAGTTTTCCCGTAGAAAATCTTGCCTTGAGCAGTGAAAGCGCGGGAATTTCAAACGAACCGTTCCGTGCTAAAGTTGCTTTATTATTGCCGTTTTTTAGTTTTTCACCGACCTGTAATTGCTGCTCGTAAAATGATTTTCAATCTAGGAAATACGCAAGAACAAGATTCACAATTTTTTTTGCTAAACCCTCGACAATTGAAACCTACCGATGCGATGTATAAATTCTGAAAGTTGTGTTGACATTAAATACATACGTTTACATGAAATGAACAACCTAGTTTGTACGAATGACGAACAGTCAAAATTCATTACCTACTGATTGTCAGCGAGCCATATATAGAAGCCATACCTTGAACACGAGTCAAAAAGAAATTAGCAAAATTGGAAAATAAAACGACGACGACTTTGCATAAGGTCACTAAACTCTCGTTGTTATGCATTACACGACGTAGCCCACATACCCAGTTAAAGTATTAATCAAGCAGTTTAAAACCCATCCGAATCTTTGAAGGTGAGCGCGTGAAGGTCAAATTCGATGTTAAAATAATTGCTCTTTTTTTCTATACTTTTCCTTCAAACGTGTTGCTGCAAAATTATCGTGATTCTCTTATAAAAATTAACCTTTGCGCGCGTGCTTCTATAGAGAACCCAATGAATAGTGGACGAGCGAGTGACTTGTTCATTATAGAGACATTCGACGCTTGAATAATTCGGCACATATCCACTGCAAGTAGTATAAAAAGAAAAAAGAAAGTGGCGGAAATCGTAGGTTTTCGACGGTCGACTCGCTAAGGCGAATCGCGAAAGAGAAAACGAACGCTGGAGAGGGGAGGAGTGCGTTTCTAGGAAAAAGTCACACCCCGGTCGCTTATCCGGCAATCAGCCCGAGGGATCAAAGCGAACAACCGCAGCACGCGTGTCGAGCTCATTAGCCGCGGTCGTACGTAAGCTCGCTGTCTTTCTCCGACAAGAGCCGCGGGCCGATGTACAAGGCGCACCGAGCCGCGGGAGCGTCGCTCCGGCGCGCACGTTAAAGGATCGAACCGCGAGCGCGCGAGCGATCGGCGTCTCGAATGACATTATGCGCGCCGCGCGCATAACGCGCACGTGACTAATGCGCCCTCCGAGCGAGCGTTTCCCGCGGATCGCGCGCCGCTCGGAGGAGAAAATAACGATCTGTCGCGGCGAGCAGCGTGCCCGAGGAAAAGCGTGGGTGCTTGGAAGCTCGCGAGATGAGAGAGAGAGTAGTGGGGCCCCGCGCGAGCGCAGAAAAACGGGGCAGGTAACGCGATCGCTCGAGGGGGAGAAGGTCGCGCGCCTGCGCGCACCGGCGCGCGCCGCGACTCGGGCCCCGCGCCGAACGGCCGCGCGCTCGGCACAATCTCTCTGCGCCTCTCGCCGAGCAGCGCCGAGCTCGCGGACGACTGCAGCTCGGAGGTAGTAGTGTCTCGGGCCGCCGCCGCCGCGGTGGTAATAGTCGCAGTTCCCGCAAGAAACGCTCGTGCGCCGATCGCCGTTCGAACCGCTGTCGAGTCGCGGCGGAGCGCCTGCTCGCCCGCCCCGGATCGCTCCCCGCCGGCCCGACGATACCATGAGTGCCGCCAGCAGCTTCCAGGAGAAGCACGAGGAGCTGTCGCCTCTCGGAGACACGTGAACGCCGCACGCCCTCGAACGCACATACCGCAGGTGAGCGATCGCCGCCCATGTTATCGAGTGGCGCGCGTCGACGCGCATCGCCGCGCCTAGTACCCTCCAGCCGTTCTCCTCTTCGCTCGCTTTCGTCACCTTCGTCGCTGTTCTCGCGAATCGCTGGCCCCGTGGTTCCGCAACGCCGAGGACCACCACGACCACGACCGCGATCACGACCGCGACTACGTGGGTGGAGAGCGCGATGATTTATGCGCTGGCGCAACGCAAAAGTGAATATCGAGAGATCGGCCGAATAATGCAGAATTTACTCGGAAAACAACCGCGCGGATATACGAAACGTATCGTACGTATTTGTGTTAACATCGCGCAGTGACTTCCTATAGACAGCTCTGCGCTTCTTATCTCAGCCGATTTATCAGTGAAACCAGCGAGTCGCGCGCGGCTGTATACGCTCAAGACTCCGTGACATAATTTACCCATAAACACACACACACAGACTTACGTGCACACGAGAGCTCGATTTTTTGCGCGGGGACACCTGCGCGCAAACTTTTCGCCTTTCTCCCTGCATGCACACGTACTCGCGCTTTTCTTTTGTGATTATGCTCTCTCGGACGGAGACAGCGCCGAGCCGCGACTTTTCCTTTCGATTTCTACTGGCGGCGCAGCCCGAGAATCGCGAGCATCGCGAGAATCGCGGAATAGATCGATAATGGACGCTATTTCACAAGGATACGCGATTGCGAAACGCGATAGGGAACTGGAGCTGGCGAGGAAAGAAACAAAAACAAAAAAGAATAAAAACATCGACGCGTGCCGCGTGCGCGTGCGTCTCGTAATGCACACGTATACGTACGACCAGATTCATAGGCGTGACGCCACCCAAACCGAAGGATGGAAAACGCACTCATCGCGAAGACCTTTTTTCCATTCGCTCGACGTATTCGCGTGTTTGTTGCTAATGCAAGTAGCGTAGCGTGTTTCCCGCCCGCGAGACAGTCGGTTCGCGGTGTCAGGTTTCCGAGTGAAACATACGAATTTATCGCTGCAAGATTATGATGTGTGAAAATTTCGTAACCGGCTCTCTCTCTCTCTCTCTCTCTCTCTCTCTCTCGCCATGTGTACATAAACGCAAGCTACAGCTCCCATTGATATCGATCGGCTATAGATCGTTAGAGTAACACACGTACGTGTCGACAACTGCTCGCGCTGAGAGAAAGAGAGAATTGAGGTTTATAGCGAGTTCATCGAGAGGTTTTTAATGTCCCTCGCGCGATTTATACTTCGTTGCGTGTCGCAAATCCACCGAGAGTGAAAAATGCCGTGGTACGAATGCGTAACTCACTCAAGCTCGGCAACAAAACAAAAAGATTTATTTTTTCATCGAAGTAAATAAAAAATTGTGAGATTCTGCGAAGAGGTGACCCTTCGTCGTTATAGGCCGCGTGCAAAGGTAAAGTGGTCAAAAGAAGTAACAAGAAAAAATCGCAATGGAGTCACCTACATACTGGTATAGGTAGTCGGGCGCCAGCAGCAGCAATGAGCGGGAGCACAAGGTCGTTCGTCGATCCGAGAGCGCTCGCTTTCGGCGTGTAATTTTTGAAAAGGCGCTCCCACGACAAGTTCTCTCTCTCTCTCTCTCTCTCTCTCTCGTCAGCGTGGCTGCGTAACGCTTCCTAATAAAGAAAAGACCTCGCGCTCTCTCTCTCTCTCTCTCTCTCTCTCTCTCTCTCGCTCTCGCTTAGCGCGACGCGGTTGGCTTCTTCGCGGTTGACTCGTGCGCACACGTACGCACGCACACGACCCTGCCTGCATAAATGGACAAAGCCGCAGAACCGCGCACACCGCGAGGTGGGGACGCCGCTCGCCGATCGCTAGGCCGCGCGGGCCGCTCGACGCGTCCAGAGAAAGAACGAGCAGCGCGCGCGGGGGCCATGACCAGCTTGCGACAAGGCAACCAGCGCCGACGACACCGAAACCGCAGCCGACGAGCCGCGACGCGGCGACCTTCAACTTCAACTCGGCGCCGGGACTAACGCTGACTAACGCGACTCCGACCGCCTTCTCGCCGCTTTTGGACGCGCCTCGCCGCGGCTCCTTTGGGCAGCGCGAGCCCTCGTTTATGGAGACGCGAGGTGAAATGCCTAATTGCGATCGCGCTCGAGGTTCGATCTGCCGCGCGGTTACTCATTGGCCAAACAAGACGCGCGCGCGTCGCACTTTTCGCGTATACGCGACGCGCGCAAAGGACGAACGCCGCCGCCCCGCCGCCCCGCCGCCCCGCCGCCCCGCCGCCCCGCCGCCACGCCGCCGCAAGCTCGAAGGTAAATTTAGCTGCGAAGGCCGCTTTTCTCACCTGCTAATCGTCAATATTATCGTTCGCTCTGTTGATACGGCTATTAACAAACTTCAAGTGACTAACTGATAGAGTAAGGCTTGTTTCAGCGTTTTCATTATTCGATTATCTCCGTTTTGTGTCGAGGTGATTTTTTCTTTTTGTTTTTTTCCCCTTCAAGGAAAATCGAGTACCCATTGTTAACTATATCTCTGTTTCAACTGCTACTACCACTTCCTGCGTCATTCTCTTGATAACAACAATTGTTCATTTTTTTCGCAATCAATTAATTAAGATGATTATCGGCGCGCTTCAAACTAGCCGCCTTTTCCATTCCACGCCGTACAGACTAATTATTGATACTTTCGCACGCACACAAATTAGCTTTTATATCCGAAGTAATTATACGCGAATTACAGTCGCTCAAGGCACGAAAATGCAATGAGCCGTATTTTTTTTAAATTCTATCTACAGCTCAATGTCAATAGCCTTATCGGAGCTGAGAGCGCACTGGTACATTAAACTATCAACTTATACAATTGACACGATCGCGATAAGCCTTATTTATTAAAGAGTTAACTCGTTAGAAGAAAAAAAGCGCAATTGTCTGCCGCCGGCCGCCACCGCGCGAACGTGAGAAAAGAGGCACGATGGTCGATCGTGCGAATACTTTCGCAAGAATAAAAAGAGGTCCTTGCGTTTATCGTATCGCCGTCGACGATTCGCGAGCGCAGAACCCCGTTCAGCATGCATCCGACGTTCGCTCGACGTGACTGAAATTTCCGCGCGAAAAAGCGAGACTTTTGCTTTTTCTTTTTCCTTCGACGAAAGCGAAAACGCTGACATCCTCTTGTCTTCAAGGTAAGAGTCTTTTCGCCGTGCTTTGTGTCTCTTGTCGATAATTATGGACTTTTCGCCAAAGTACTTGCACCGATTTTAATGGCCCTTTAGCGTGCGCGCACACACTTTCTCCTTGGCCGAGAATTTTTCAAGGGATTGGCTTTTCGATTAGGAGAAAAGAAAAATCGATGACACACGAGTTAAGGGGGGAAAAAAAGCACGGCTTAAGCCGCAATTTATCCGCTCAATTATCCCATTAAAGCCATCTTTCGTCACGATCCGCCGCAAAAACCGCGTCGGAAAGATCGGTCGCGGCGGCGAAATTTTCATTTGAGGCGCACGAAACACAACGCGAGACGCGCTCCCCAAGGCGAAACGCCTCTTTTTGTGTGACCCCGCGAAAAAAAAGGAAAAGAAAAAAAACGGTGTTTTCTGTTTAGGATTCATGTAGGTCGAGCGTGTGAACGAATGTCAATGTTGAATTGGTTTTTCTGCTGGGCCCCGCGATTGCATGCGCAATCCGAGAGCACGATCTGCCTAATTGACATTTTCTCACGTGTTCCAATTATAAAAAGAAAAGAACACACGCGCGCGCTATCTCCTCGCTTTTGCTCGTTCTTTCGCGCTGCTTCCACGGAGATAACGACGAGGTCCCATGGAAACGGAACTCGCTCCTCGTCGGAGTTTCGCGCCGCGATCGAAGCACAATGGAAAACGGGGCGAACGCGCGCCAACAGAGGTGCATCGAGAGCTCGGCATCGACGAACTCTCTATCGCAATCCGTCATTCGGCGCTCGTCGCGTAGGATGACGTCAGTCCCACGCCATGACGTTACGATAGGCTTCCGTATCGTCGGGCGCAGAAGAAAAGAAGAAGATTAAGGAAAAGGCCGTCGTCCTCCGGTGAGCTTGCGGGCAGGCGTAGTTTTCGGAGGTGGACGTTTCGGAAATTGGTCGCGGACGATCGGTCGGCGTGCGCGCGCGCAAGAGAGGAGAAAGCGAAAGAGCGAACACAGAGTCGAGCGTTCCACGCGCGCTGTACGGTTGCAGCTCGGTCGTGCACATACATAATAGTAGGAGTGCCCGGATCCCTTCTGGCGAGAGGCTCACTCGTCTTAGCTCTCTACTATACGGCTCTGCTGCTTGCTCGCGCGCACTCTCTCTCTCTCTCTCTCCTGCTCGCCGCGTGCATGTGCATGTTGCACTCGCGGGACAACACACCGTTAGAAGAGACACCGCCACCATTCGGCCGAGAGGGGAAGGCAGGGCTTTCGTTAGCTGCCAACAGCCAGCGACGCTTTTATCGCTGTTTGCCTGCGCGCGCGCTCGTTTGTTTAGTCCTAACGACTACGACTATAAGGACATTTCGTTAAATTACGCCAGAGCAGGAGAGAGAGAGAGAGAGAGAGAGAGAGAGCTTTTGTTTTACTCGGTAACCGCGAGTACACGTACATGCACCGATTGATCATACGCTCCGTGTGCGCGTACGTTTGCTCCATAGCTATGGGAAACGTTGGGAATAAATTGGGCGCGCGACTTTGTTTCGCGGGACGATCGATTAACAGCGGGCGGGCAGGGGACAGGCCCCGGAATACGCGAGAACGTCCGAAGAAGCGCTCGAGGGCGACGGGGAGAACAAGTCAATGGCGGCTCGGCGATCTTTAATTGGCGGAAAAATACGCGCGCACGGAGAGTTCTAATTAATGCTCGTCGGCCATATGAACCCGACGCGAGAGAGGCTCGTTGCTTTATTCCTTAATGCGACGCGTGCCTGCGGATGGATAAATGGCCTCTGGCGAGAGAGCCTTTGCCTAGACAAGCACGAGTTACGTGTTTCATTGCCTCTCGAGATAGGCGCGCGC